ATATTAATATTAATATTAATATTACTATGAGTATCAATATGACTCTCAACATCAGTATCATTATTAACATCAGTATCAATATCAGTATCAGTATCAGTATCAGTGTCAGTGCCAGTGTCAGTATCAGTATCACTATTAGTATCAGTATCAGTATCAGTATCAGTATTTGTATCAATATCAGTAAGTATTAGTAGTAGTATTAGTAGTAGTATTAGTTTAGTATCAGTATCAGTATCAGTATCAGTATCAGTATTAATATTAATATTAGTTTTAGTATCAGTATTAGTATTAGTATTAGAATTAGTATCAGTATAAGTACCCGTAGTACGAGTATCAATATTAGTATTAGTACCAATATTAATATCAGTATTACTATTATTATTACTATCAATACTAGCATTTTTTCCCCGTGTGATGCACGGGATATTATTTCAAAAGTTAAAAAAATAATCAATTTAATGCATAATAAGAAAATATAGTATACTAATATAGTAAAATTTAATAATATAGTATTATTCATATTTTATTTAACATTAGTTTCATTAGTTTTTTTTTTTTTTTTTTAATCTGACATATTAAGATTTATAATCCAAATATGTAGATCGAATTTCTATGTTTATTTCTTAAGATTTGAGATATATTGGTGAAAAATAGGAGATTAATAATTGTTGAAAATTATAGTTAGAAAAATTAGTAAATATTAAAAATAAATAGTTACAAAAGTACCGTTAGATAGGATTCTTCGGGATTTAGTTTCAATTTTGATAATTGTTAAAAATTAGTTAGAAATTAGTAGAGAAAAAAATATTAAAAATATTTAATTACAGAAAATACCATTAGGGTTTTTTAGGGTTGCCCAGCGTTTCTTTCTTTTATACATAAGATTAGTATTATTATTAGTATTAGTATTAGTATTAGTATTAGTATTAGTATTAGTATTAGTATTACGGCACAATTGGTATGCGGGAAAGGAATAAAATAGGAATGGAATAAGCATTGGAATGGAATAATGATGGGAAATGAATGATAATATTGTTCTCTTTCCTATGTTTGGTATAGACGAGGAAAAAGAAAATAATGAAATCTAAACCTTTACCTTGTTTCAATCTCATGATTGGTAACTTAAATAAAATGTATCGGAATGGAATAAAATATTTTAATGACCAAATTATCTTTTAACTAAAAAAATTCTGTAACATTTTTTTTCATTTATTACCTTAATTTTTAAATTTATTATTTTTAATTTTTTTGTGATAAAACGTTTTTCTACAATTCAATTACTCTTCATAATATGTTACTTTTTGATAAAAAAATTAATTGAAGAAAAAAAATACCGAGTACAACAAAGACATGTAGAACACAACTAATAATGAAACACACCAATCATAAAAAAAAATAATAGTGATGATTAATAACCATAGAAGTTATTTAAATACTTATTAAATAGTCATGTCTTAATAATGTACCAACAACAAAAAGAAAAGAAAACAACTTCAAAGGTTGTAATATTGTAGGAACACTAATTAATTGTTTTTTAACCCACTAAACACTAATTTGCTTCTTTACGAACAATTGCACATACTGTTAAAACGCAAGAAGATGACAAGCAATAGTATTATTTATAAATCGTTTTCATATTCCCACTAAACCCAATCCAGTTGTTCGACAATATAGTTTACAAAATCTGAAAATCAACTTTAAGTCGACGAAAGAGAGATGCAGAAGAAAAAAAAACCTTCAGACAGCTGAAGACGATAGATGAGAAAGAGACGATAAATCAATATGATAGAAAAATTGATTAATTAGGTTTAAGTTATATTGGAATATACGTGATAATTTTGTAAATAAAAAGTATTAATAAGGATAAGTTTGTCAAAAGAAAATAATTGTTTATTCCAATAGGATTGGGAATACGTAAAACCATGGGGGAGTGGAGGAATCACTAATCCTATAGTTTTGGGTATGACCATTCCGACAGGAATGGGTATTCCCATTCCCAAAACTTACCAAACATCTGTATTGGAATAAAACTGGGAATACATGTTCCATTCCTTGCCCATTCCTACATACCAAATGTGCCGTTAGTATTAGTATTAATATTAGTATTAGTATTAGTATTAGTATTAGTATTAGTATTAGTATTAGTATTAGTATTAGTATTAGTATTAGTATTAGTATTAGTATTAGTATTAGTATTAGGGCTCGTTCGGTTACCGCTATAAGGTTCTACTGACTAAATAATAGGGGCTAATAGCATGTCCGGTTGGTAAGATTCACACTTTTTCAAACCCGCTACTAAAATCAAAGCCCGCTATTAAATGCTACTATTTCTTTAAATTAGTAGCACCCCTCCCCCTAAGATTAATTTAATAGGGGGTGACTAAAAAGGAAAAAGACAATTTTATCCTTAAATTCATATTTTATTATTGTAAACTAAGTGGTTTTATAGACAATTCATATATAATAACCGATTCTAACAAATTTAATAGAAAATCTAATCTAAGAAACCGAACATGCTACTAACTAAATAATTAATTAGCCAGTAGGAAGTTAATCCAATCTCATGTAATCCAATCTAATCCAATATAGGTAACCGAACGAGCCCTTAGTATTAGTATTAGTATTAGTATTAGTATTAGTATTAGTATTAGTATTAGTATTAGTATTACTATTAGTATTAGTATTAGTATCATTATTAGTATCATTATTAGTATCAATATTGATATCAGTATTGGTATTATTATTGGTATTGGCGTATACATTTTATCTCTTTTGCAATGTTTATAAGTTGTGTTGTTGTTTGATTAATGTGCATCACTAATTGAATGTTGTTAGTGATAAACTTGCAAGTTATTTGAATATCTGTTGTGTTACCTCCATGATACTGTGTTTGTTGTTAAGTTAGTTATTTTGTAGAGGATTCACATGGTGTAGTAGATTGCATTCTATGAAATAGATTTATACCATATTTTTAAATTATTTCACTTAATCTTCATATCGTGCTTTGCGCCATTCGCGTATTTTTCTTTGTAATATTTAATTGAATTTCAAATGTTACAACTCTGAATTAAGAGATAATATTTTTATTTCCTTCCATTTTGTTTTACTTAAATTGGTGTTGTTATAAAGAGATAATCGTTTAAATGTTATTATTTTTCTCATTTTGAAACTGATATCCGTGCAACGCACCGGTGAAGTACTAGTTATACTTAAAATATCAATATTATTAATTATTTTATAATATTACAATTTTTTTTTTCTTTTAATTCTTACGAGATCCGTTCAATTCAATTTACCTCATAAAGACGTGCATAAATAGATCCCCCCCATAGGCATATCGTCAGCCGGCTGTGACCTAAATCATCCTGCCTGGACACGTGCGAAAGTCTGACGTGGCGACCACTCTCCAACTCTTGTGTCGTTTTACCATCTCTCCTCCCCATAAACAACAAACAAAACCCCACTGTCACAAAACACCAACACTTCACACTTCATCAACTCTTTGGTGTCACCTTTCTCTCTCTCTCTCTCTCTCTCTCTCTCTCTCTCTCTCTCAATCTCTCTTGTTTTCTTTGCCATACAAAAAAGTACCTTTCTCTAACTTCTCTCCGATCAGAGTTTTCAACTTTTTGGTCTCTCTCTCTCTCTCAAAAAAGAAGGATCTTTGAATCCAGCGGCGGCCCCTTTTCTCGGTGAGAGTTGTTAAACTCTCCGGCATTGTTATATTCTTTTTATTTTTTTATTTTTTTTGTTGGTATCAGATCTTCAAGATTCCTTTTTTATTTTTATTTTTTTAATTTATTTTTCTTACAGCGATGTCTAAGGTAGGAGGAACATTGGATCTGGCATCTGGGCTCGGCGGAAAGATTGAAAAGGATGATGTTCTCTCCGCCGTTGACAAGTAAGCAAATTTCTTCATCTCACACCCTCCACTGTGTGTGTACTGTGTTTTTTTTTTCTTCTTAATTTTTTCTTGAAATAATAATTGCTGAAGTTTGTACATTGATCTTACATTATTTTCTACTTTATCCCATTTTTTTTAATTACATTGGGATCTCTCATTGTAACTTTTCTAGCATCTGTGTGTGTGTGTGTGTGTGTTTTAAATTACTGTGAAAGCAATTTGTTTTACTTAATTGTTATCACTAAAGCTTATCGTTTGGTTGCCAAGATAAGATTTTTAAGATTAAATAATATATGAAACTCAATTATATTATTGGACCTTCGATGATCCGATAAAAAACCATGCCTAGAAGGCAAGATAAGCCATGATAACATAATATTTGCGGATCGACCCGGCAAGTTATTGGGGATACCAAACATGAAACAAAGTTTTATAATTTAGTTAATCATGGCTAATCTCTCCAACCAAACGAGGCCTAAGTGTTATCGAGGTCGGGGGTTCGAATCCGCTGCAAGCCCACACTATAATTCCTTTTTTTTTTTTTTGAAAAAAAAAATTAAGTGAGAATTTATCTTCAATTATTGACTTATATTCCTGATATTTTTTCCTGTTTGGTTTGATTATGGCAAAGTAGTAATATAATGAATGTATACATACAGCGAAAAATGAAAGAATATCCAAGTAATTATTGTGGTTGATCTGGTTTCTACCATTGAATTATAAACCACATGTGGACAGATATTAATGTGGTCCCCCTCCCACTGTCTTGAATCCCTATCAGCAGCCTTGTTCTTATTTAATTTAATTATATTATTTTTTGGGGAGGTTATTTTGTTTGAGGTTTTATACACGCGGCAGTGAAATTTTCATCGATATTTTTAACAAGATATGGATTTGAGTTAATTGTTGACGAAGACAATGGATATTGAATAATTGAGGCCATGTGCTTACTACAAATCCAAGTCGATGTTTTTTTTGGACAATCGAGACATTTTGTTTTATGTCGTTTTCTTTTTGGTTTTTCGTTTCTTTCCTAATATAGGCATCAGTCAAAAAAAGAAAAAAAAAAAAACCGATAAAAAACACTAGTCGAATGAGTTCACATGGTTTTCATGTTTATTTCGTTATAATAAATGCTATTGGAAGCTTTTGTCGTGTTTGCAAATAATTGCATGACTTCTCTTTGATATTCTTTATTTGTTATTTTCTTCTAAAGTTTGGTTCTTTTGAACAGTGTATGATAGAAATTTTGATTTTTTTAGTCTAGACGGACTTTTTACTTGTTTAATAGCTTAAAGTTCTTTCTTCGCATACAAGTTTTAATTTTAAAAAATTATAATGTTATTACAAAGGGTGACAATTTAGCTGTTCTTTCAGAAGATTTCTCATATGGAATTTTGTGTTTTCTTTTCTATTTTATGATGGCATTTGTTTTTTTTTCTTATTATTGTAATTATTATATTAATTTGTCGTTTATGTGTGTGTAAATCAGGTACGAGAAGTATCATGTTTGCTATGGAGGCAACGAGGAAGAGAGAAAATCCAACTACACCGACATGGTGAGATTTCCTACTTCGTCATGTTGAATTTTCATTTCGACTTTTCCCCCCCTTGTTTTTTAATAATTTTATGTTCGTTTTTATCTATTAAAGTGATTTTTAATACTAAAATATTTTCCTCGATCTTCGAATTTTAAGCAACGTGACAAAAAAAGCAATCTCATTTAAGAAACTGTTTTCACTATAATGCTTATAAAAATCTTGTCTGATTCATATGCGTGAATTCATCGTTAATTATGTGATATTGCCTCGTCTTTTTTTTTCCAGGTTAATAAGTACTATGACCTCGTCACAAGTTTCTACGAGTATGGCTGGGGAGAATCATTCCATTTTGCACCCAGGTGAATAAATATCCTTCTTCGTTATTATTCTTTTATTATATGATGCAAATACTAAAAAAATGAAAAAGAAAACATAAAACAAATCATTTACTAAATAACAGTTAATGTGATATTTATTCACACAGATGGAAAGGCGAGTCTCTTCGAGAGAGCATTAAACGCCACGAGCACTTCCTTGCCTTACAACTCGGCCTCAAAGCCGGACAGAAGGTATTTTTCCGGGCTTCTATTTAGAGCTACATTTGACTTTAATTTCTATTATTTGAACCAATAAAAAAAAGAAAAAAAAACAATTTTGCGCTTTTTGGCCATTTCTGTAGGTTTTGGATGTAGGATGTGGAATCGGTGGGCCACTAAGAGAAATTGCTCGATTCAGGTTCGGTGAAAATTCTTCACCTCAAGATTTATTTATATATTCCTTCGAATAAATATTTTCTTACATTTTATTGTATATATATATATTGCTTTAAAATTGCTGTCTCAAAATATGATTTTGCAGCTCTACATCAGTCACAGGTCTCAATAACAATGAGTACCAGATTTCTCGAGGAAAGGTACTTGTTCGTTTATTATACGACTTTACACTCAAAACTGCAATTTTTTTTTGTTTTATTTATTGTTTTATACGTACGGTGCAGGTTCTAAACCGGGTGGCTGGATTGGACCAGACCTGCGATTTTGTTAAAGTCGGTGAAGCTGCAGATCGATTTTTTTCTTTTTGTCATTTCTTGCTGATGTTTAGTTAATCTTTCCGGTTTTTTTTTCTCCTCTAATAATCATTAGTAATTAATAATGCAGGCTGATTTCATGAAGATGCCGTTCCCCGACAATAGCTTTGATGCAGTGTATGCAATTGAAGCCACCTGTCATGCCCCAGATGCGGTACGTCAATTTATATACTTAGGCCTTGTTTGGTTGCTAAATTGGATTTAGCCAAAATTAAGATCATCACAATCTTGTGTGGAAATTGGAATGGAAAATCTTGTTCCAGAATCAGATTTTTTTTTTATATATTTAAATAGGTGGAACGAAATTCCAGTCACGTATAATACAAATTCATATTATAAGTCTACCTTTTGGAAAACAATCGGAATTTTTGAAAATATTTTTATGACTTATTTTGCGAACCAAACGAGGCAGTATAATCTTAATCCAAATATGACATTTGTAGTTATTTATTTATAATAATACTCTCTCGTTTCTCTAGGTTGGCTGCTACAAGGAGATATACAGGGTGCTGAAACCAGGCCAGTGTTTTGCCGCTTACGAATGGTGCATGACCGATGCCTATGACCCTAATAACAAAGAACACCAACAAATTAAGGTGAACCACTCATTTATCAAAAAATAAAATAAAACAAAAATTTTCATAGCAATATTTGGTCTTTTTATTTAATTATTTAATAAATTTCCTATGTACGCAGGCGGAAATCGAACTAGGTAACGGTCTCCCCGACATTCGGCTGACAAGCCAATGCCTCGATGCTATTAAGAAAGCTGGTTTTGAAGTGAGTAGCAATATTTATTAATTAATCAATATATAGATATATATATATATACACACATACATGTAAGATAATTGGATTGTTTTTTCCGTGAATTGCTAAAAGGTCGTGTGGGAGAAAGATCTTGCGGTGGACTCGCCTGTACCGTGGTACTTGCCGATGGATGCAAGTCATTTCTCTCTCAGCAGTTTCCGTTTGTCTGCAGTTGGTCGGTTTTTTACCAAAAATATGGTAAGATTACTACATATACTTTACGATTAATTTCCTTTCACAATATCACATATATGTATATGTATATTATATCTCTCGTTAAATATTCTTCGGCTCGTTTCAAGGTGGCGGCTCTAGAGAAAATTGGAATTGCACCAAAGGGAAGTCAAAGGGTTCAAGCTTTCTTGGAGAAAGCTGCAGAAGGACTTCTTGCCGGTGGAAAGTAAGAATCCCTTTTTCGAATAAATCTATTTCGTTTCGTTTATATTCTCGTTCTTGATTTTTTTAAAACTCTTGATATTTTTATTCATATTTACTTTATTTGTTTTTTGCAGGAAAGAAATATTCACGGCGATGTATTTCTTCGTGGCTCGGAAGCCACTATCGGAGTCTGAGTAACGATAGAGCTAGGTGGATCTTTGCTTGTGGGATGCTGTAATGGAGTGTTTAGGATGTTTTTTTTATGACAGTTGTAGATTTTATTTATTTTTGGCTGTGAATGGATTTGATTGTCTGTTTGTGTTTGTTGATGACACTTTAACTTTGTGACCTTTTTTTTTTGGGGGGGCCAAAAAAGAAGATTTTATTTCATAAACGGAGGGCCTCGTTAAAAACCTTGTTGATTATTGTGATAGTGTTCAGTTTCTTTTTATCTAATTTTATGGCTCATTCTTTTGATTTAAAATGGTGCAAATGGTTGTTACAAATTGGTGAAGTAGGGGTAGGGGCAAATTTTGAACCCTAGACATGTACTCTAATAGTAGAGGGCTGGGTTGGTAATTCTTGTGGTTAATTGCACATTTGAATTTGTATATCCTTGTCATTATCTCTCTAGAATTAGCAATTTATAAAGGTTCTGAGTTCGAACTTAAAAACAATCTTCAAATGTAATTCGTCGTCGATATACGAAAGAGTGTATTTGAGTTATTAATATTAAATAATACATTTCACTAAGGTAAATGAGCTTATCATAAAAAGATTAAAAGGTTAATCTCCAAGCCTTGATGAAATAATCAATTTTGTCTCGTTATTTTTAATTTTTTTCAATTATAATTTTCTTTTTACCTCTATTGGCAATAAAAAATAAATTTTAATTCAACCTTTTCTAATTATTTGGGTATCTTATATTTTCTTATGGATAAATTACACCTACACACCTGGGTATGCTATAAAATAAATGTAAGGTTCCTGTAATATCGATAATTACAACCATCCTGAAACATTGTTAGAAAGTCTAACATGATAATGTTTTAGATACGTTATTCCGACACAACTCTAACGAACTATAGCTAAGAGTGATTTAAGAAATGTTGGGGAGCTATGTCAGCCCCTAACTCCCCTAACTTTATGTTGTTTCCACCTCTTCGTGAAAGTAATAGTGCATTAGAACTCTATGGAATAATATATCTAGCTAATACATCGTCCTGTTAGAGTTTTTAACGATATTTCATGGGATGATTGTAATTATGATACCACTGGAACCTTACAGTTATATATATGTTCATATCGATACCTCAGGGGTATAGGTGTAATTTACCCTTTTCTTTTCGATTAGCCTATAAATACTTGTCAGTTCTACATATGTTCATAAACTTTCTTCATACTTAATTGGCTCCAATACTAAAAATATCACTATATATGTGGAATAAAATAATTAGTTTAATTTTAGTATTTTTGGCAATCATAACCGCCATGGAAATCTGCTACGCCGCCAGGGATCAAAGTCCAAAAGCAGTTGAAAAATGGGTAAAATACCTAAAATACCCCTCTAGCGAAAAGCTCACCAAACTCCACTTCTTCTGCCACCACCTCCGCGGCGCAACCGCCGTCACCATCGCCAGGGCCGCCGCGACGGCCGCCTCGCCGACGTACTTCGGCCTAATGGACGTGAGGGACGACCCGCTGACGGTCGGCCCCGACGAGTCCTCTCAGCGCGTGGGCTACGCGCAGGGGATCTCGGCGGCGGCGTCGCTGGAGGAGATCTCCTCGTACGACCTCTTCACCTATGTGTTCACGAGCAGGGAGTTCAACGGCAGCACGCTGGCGGTTCTCGGCAGCTGCCCGCTCTTTGCTCCGTCGTGTGAGGCGGCGGTTGTTGGCGGGAGCGGCGTTTTCCGACTGGCGCGTGGGTGGGTCACGGCGAGGATCTATTATCTCAATTTCAACGCCGGAAAAGCTAGCCTTGAGGTCAATGTTGTGGCCCTGCACTACTGATCGATCGGTTTTTCAACAAATTTTCATTTTATGCGTTTTATCAAATTTGCACTGAATTCACATTTTCCCTTTACCTTAAAAAAAAAACATTTGGTCTGTTTAAAAAATTCAACAATTTTAGTCACTTTCGTCGCTTTTCTGTTATTATTACTACTAATGGAATCAAGCGTTTGACCATTACCGTGAATTAACAGTAAAATGACATAAATGACCATAAGCGTTAAATTATTGAAACATAAGGGCTCAAATATATTTTTTGTGAATATGAGGGATCGAATGTGAAATCTGTGCAAATTTGATTATTTGAAGAATGAAAAGTGTAATTTTTTCTTAAGAACACTCCACCAATGAATTGGAATTTGGACAATGCACACGACTATTGGAATAATTTGATTTGTGTCAAAGGCATTATTACAATTTACAATTTGTTTAGATTTTTATAAGGGGTAATATATATATATATATATATATATATATATATATATATATAAAGGATTCTTATTCAACTATATACACGTTTATCGGGTAGACCTATGCTCTCGTATAATAGCTTGTAAATCATATGATAGACGTAAATGACACTAAGTTAACCATATGTGACAAACTTCACTTAGTGATCGTTGGCAAGAGAGATTCGAACCTGAGTCAATTGACACAGACTCGTTCCAACCGTTATATCATCCCTGGACAAACGAATAAAAAAATCCGGAACAATCTCCGAAATCAGAAGTACCTAAAATGTCAAAGGTAAACGTAGAAAATTGGGTATACTCCTCAAGTTTACACCGATTTCACATTTAGTCTCCCATGTTCACGAAAAACACATTTGGTCCCTTATGTTTCAATACTTTAACACTTTTGGTCATTTTCTTCAATTTACCGTTACTCCGTCAGTTAAAGCAGTGATAGGTACACGCTTGATTCCGTTAGTTCTAACGAAAAATTGATGGAAGTGACTAAAAATGCTGAAGTTTTGAAACATGAGAGACCAAATATGTTTTTTATGAACAAGAGGGACCAAATGTGAAATCGGTGCAAATATGACGGACCACAACTGCATTTTTTTTTGCCCGTAGAAAATCCCTTTTCTCGTGCCATAATAAATTTAGTTATTTACCTTCCATATGTTTGAATATTAAAATTAAGGCAAATGGCAAAAAGGCCCATCACATGGGACTTAAATGCATTTTAGTCCACAAAAAAAACAGTCTCTCAATTAAGCCCATCCCCATGTCTTTAGTCTAAAATACCCTCAATAATATAATTCTTAACAATTCCACCCATTATGCTCTAACTTTCTTAATATTACACATTGACCCCGGATTTAAACAAATATATCACATTAACCCCCAAAACTTTTTTTTTTCAGAAAATAATTTTTTTTCTGAACTATTTTTTTTCCGGCCAGATTCCGGCGTTGACCGCCGGAGACCCCCGGTTTCCGGCGTTGACTTTTTTTTTTTTTTTTTTTTTTTTTTTTGAAATTTTTTTTTCCTGCTTTTTTTTTTCCGGCCGGTCAACCACCCGTTGACCGCCGGTCTCCGGCGTTGACCTTTTTTTTTTTTTTTTTTTTTTTTTTTTTGAATTGTTTTTTCTTAGAAAAAAAAATATTTTAATTAATATTACTGTCTTGACTACTAAATTACTGTCTCAGACAGTAATATTACTGTTTGAGACAGTAATATTATGAATATTATTTTTCCGAACAGTAATATTATTAATATTATTATCTAAGACAGTTAAATTACTGTTGGAGACAGTAATTTAACATCCAAGACAGTAATATTAATTTAAATAAATTTTTTTTAAGGAAGGAAAAAAATTAAAAAAAAAAAAAAGTCAATTAACAGTTAAGTTACTGTCTCCGACAGTTAAATAACTGCTGGAGACAGTAATTTAGCAACGAATACAGTAATATTAATTAAAAATATTTTTTTTAAGAATAAAAAAGTCAATTAACAGTTAAATTACTGTCTCCGACAGTTAAATAACTGCTGGAGACAGTAATTTAGCAACGAATACAGTAATATTAATTAAAAATATTTTTTTTAAGAATAAAAAAGTCAATTAATAGTTAAATTACTGTCTCCGACAGTTAAATAACTGCTGGAGACAGTAATTTAGCAACGAATACAGTAATATTAATTAAAAATATTTTTTTAAGAATAAAAAAGTCAATTAACAGTTAAATTACTGTCTCCGACAGTTAAATAACTGCTGGAGACAGTAATTTAGCAACGAATACAGTAATATTAATTAAAATATTTTTGAAGAAAAAAAAAAAAAAAACAGTCGATTAACAGTTAAATTACTGTCTCCGATAGTTAAATAGCTGCCGGAGACAGTAATTTAACAGCCAAGACAGTAAAATTAATTAAAATATTTTTTTTAAGAAAAAAAAAAAAGTCAACGCCGGAAACCCGGCGGTCAACGGCCGTTGACCGACCGGAAAAAAATTTCAGGAAAACAAAATTCAAAAAAAAAAAAAAAAAAAAAAAAAGTCAACGCCGGAGACCGGCGGTCAACGCCGGAATCTGGCCGGAAAAAAAATATTTCAGAAAAAAAATTATTTTCTGAAAAAAAAAAAGTTTTGGGGGTTAATGTGATATATTTGTTAAAAGCCGGGGTCAATGTGTAATATTAAAGAAGTTAGAGCATAATGGGTGGAATTGATACGAATTAGGGTTAAAATTGGGGTCAAAATTGAAATTTGGGTTAAAATTGGTTAATTGATGAAATTGGGCTAAATTGGGGTGTAAATCATGAAATTGGAGTTAAATTGGGTTCCAAATGAATTGGGGGTAATTTTGGTATATATAGAGGGATTTTCCTTATTTGCAAATAAGTTTGAATGGGGTGGATTTATTTGAAAGACAAAAAAGTTGGATGTCCCTATTTTAATTAAGTGCCCTTGTCATGGGCCTATTTGCCATTACCCCTTAAAATTAAACGAGGAAAAAACTGTAAAAAAGAAGAAAAAAAAAAGGAATATCACAAAATAAAATATGAAAATACCTTTTATACCCAAAGTATTACCTAATAATTACCAAAATTCAATGGCCAAAAATAGGTTTGCATGTGAATGGAAAAAAAGAAACAGAGAGCCAACTCTATAAACCGCAAATTCCTCCCATCCCTTAAAAGAATTTTTTTTTCAATTTATTTATATATAAATATATAAGTCTCCGAATTTTGTTTATTTTTTTTTTATTTTTGAATAATTTGCAGGTTCCAGTAGGGGAGGGGCTGGGGCCGCGCCGCCGCGATGGGTAAGTATTTGGAGCTTCTAGATGCCGGTGTCCGAATTGTTTGGAGATTTCACTCTAATTGTCCCCACACTGCTCGTAAATACTACCACCCTCCTTCTCGCCGTGATCTTGATAACCACCGCACCACCACCGCTGAGGCGGCAATGGGCCATTTTAGGCCATCGGAATCCGGTGGCGACCGGATCGATACGGCTGATTTCGTTCTTCACACGGTTGTGTTGTAGTTAAAGTCTTCATGCATGTATTATACGATTTCGGTGTTTTCTTTTTCTTTTTATTTCTTTTCTTATTTATTATTATTTTTTTTTATCTCCCATGTATATTCTATTTGTTAATTGAAGGAGATTTTTAGCAAATTCCCTCTTAAAACTATTAATATTATTTTATATATTTCAAATGGTTTTTAGTTTTTCTTTTAAACATATTTTACAAAAAAAATTTATATATTTTTTTAAATGGCATATTTTCGAGATTTCAAATTACACACATATTTAGAGATGGTTATCAAATTGTCACAGTTCAAGGAAGGTGGATGCAAATTATCAAGCGAAAATTTGACGAACTTTCGTTTGAAACTATAAAATCTCGAATTTGTTTATAGGCATGATAAATATGATATTATTTCTTAAAAAAGAGGCAACTCAAAACAATCCTTAGGATAATTAAAATAAGAAGTGGTTTGTAAATTGAATATAAAACTGTTTTTTTCTCTTTCATTTAATTATTTTAACACATGAGAATTTATGCAATTACTATGTTATGTTAGGGTTCTTTGCAACCCGTAATTATGCAAATAAGGAGGATTTAACTTTTTCGCAATTAAACCTTACTTCAGGAGATTCTTGTAATTTGCGCTAAATTGAAATAAGAAGAGATTTACTAAAAAAAAAAGAAATAAGAAGAGATATTTAAGAAATTTCCATTTAATTGGGTTGAGAATAAACTTTATGCTTAATAAATACCTTTCCCTATTTCCATCCAAAAATTGCATAAAAACAGTTTGAAGATGGCGGTTTTGTAGATGGTACATCCGACGAAATATATCGACTGATCTTAAACTATTAATTTACACATAATAACACTCACATCCATACGTATATACAGTTCAAAACCACTTGGTGATTTGCAATGAACCAAGGTGGCTTGGTTTTGTTTTATCATTATCTTTGTTATTATTTCGACTACTAGTTTATTAATTTCGTAAAGTATATAATAAATTAATAATTGATGACTTTTGTTTAACATTTTTTTTCCAATATAGCCTAAAATACAATGAATAAATTAACTATCAACATCTTTTTTACTTATGTGACTTGGATGTGTTTATTTATCAATTTAATTATCCAACTAAAGAATGATGACTCTAAAGCATTTCTCTTTTTTTGTTTTATCTCATTTGAATTTATTTTCTGGAATGTTTTTTCTTCCTAAGAAATGAATTAATTACATGGGGAATTATTCCTTTAACTAAATTCCAATCAGAAAATTGGGATGATTCTAGAAGAAGAATATTAAAATAAATAAATAGTTTTAAATAATGGAAGAATGACGCCAGGTTATACTCTTTAACTTTATTTTGTGTTGTATCTTGTGTTTAAAATTAAACAACAATAATATAAATATTCGTCTATATATATATTAATAATATTATCATTAAGATGGAATTATTGTCGTCAAACGAATAATTAGCATTCAGAAATCATTCTCCGACGAATTTATCATTATTTACCCATATGAGTCAGATGATTTTATTAACTGTAAATTAATTAAATCTCTCTCCTCCGTCCATATTATATTTCATTTTTCGGGCTTCGGCCTATTGGTCCCGATTTTCGACTTTTCCGGTATTTAGTGTCCAACCGACCCATATACTTCTACTGATTCTCGGTCGGATCGGCCGGTCAGATTCGGTTCCGACAACCTTGTATAAGGGCTCTTTTTTTTGTCTTGTCAAATAAAATGTACAAAATACCGGCAAAAAAAATAAAATTTTGAGAAAAAATATGCACATTCTACCTAGTATCACTAACTACCATCAGTTATCAGTTCAAAATATTTAATAGTAATTCAACAAAAAATATAATTTTGAAATTCAAACTAATTGCAAACGTGGATATTCCCAATTTTTGGTGGAAGATTTATATCTAACTTTTTTTTCTTGCTGAGTTTTTTGTTTAATTTAAAATTATAACTATTTTAATAATTCCATACCCACTTAAAAAAATCACACCCTTTATTTTATATTTCTTTTCATAAAATTTTAATAATATAGTTGGTTGACAGATCCAATAAATCGGTTAAAAAATTATTATCCGGCTGAAAATATGGTCGGTAATGGATCGATTGGTGAGAGATCAAAACTGAATTAAGTAACCAATTTTTATATAGTATTAGTCATATTATGATAATTTTTCTTTAAAAAAAACAATTTTGGTGAGAGTAAACACATCATTTGGTAGGTTGAATTGGTAACAAAAATTAAGTCCAAATAATATTTTCCAAATTTTGCAATTTACTCAATATTTAATAAAGTGTCGAAAATTGAATTTATAATAAATTAATGACGAAAGAATTCAATAGTTAAAATTGAATGTGAAAGGTCAAATTAACCTCAAAGAAGTCAACTCGTGACAAGAAGGTGAAGATAGGCTTCTATATTAGTACAGATTTATGGCGCAATTACAAATATTTAATTATTGTATGATTAATTGTAATTACACAATTAGATTGGATTTAACTGTCCTATAAAAAGTTGTAATGGCACAAATATTTCGAAGCACAACTATTTAATTAGTGAGTTGCAAATATTGAAATAAATAATAATAATAATAAAGAATGGAAAAAGCTTCCACAATTTGTTATTTGTTTCTCCTTACTACTCTCATTTCAGGTATTTAATATTAACATTTTTTCCCTTAAACTTCTGATATCTAGTGTTTTGAAACTCGAACCGGACCGGTTGGTTAAACCGTAAACCATTGCCTTCGTCCAGTTCGGTTTGACCGATTGAATCGTAATATCGGAACCCGAGTGAAAATCAGGTTTTTTTGCCCAAGATTATGTTTTTTTTGCCCAAAATTATGTGTTTTTTTATAAGAATAAACAAGTATAATGTCCAAAACGATGTTTTATTACTGCCCAAATTGATTTTTTAATTTTTTTTTTAAATTGGACGAAGTATTATTTTTTATTATAATTTCTATAATATTTGTGATACGTATGTGTTGATATGTTGTGTCAGTAAAAGAAAAAATAAGTTTGATTTACATTTTAATTGTGAATGAATAATGAGTTAACGTGTGTGAAAGAAATATGTTTGCTTATCATAAAAATTATGTCTAAATAATTATTAAATGAAAAAAGAAAAAGAAAATAACACCGGTTGGATTGGACCCCAATTGAACAGGTCCAACCGTGACCAAGTAGCTTGTCCAGATTAATGTTCGGTCTAATTTTCAAAACATTGTTAATATCCATATATACATCATGTATACCTAATTATAATTTATTACTTATAATTTTTTTAGTTTTTCTTTTTAGTTATATATATTAAAATAATCACAATATTTTTCAATATACAATTGATTTAATGTAAGCATAATTTTAAATTTTTGGTAATTGGTTGCATGCAGTGATGAATCCGAAAAATGTGCATGTGCATGGTGCTAACGTGTGCTACCTCGTACTGCAAAATACACCATGCCAAGGTGAGGACATGGGGAAAATATGTCTGCCCGCGTGTCAGAATCGTTGCGGTGTTTCTGTAGTGGCATCCTGCCCGCCTGCCCCGGGCATACCGTGGGGCCACCAGCCACCTGGCACGCCCACGTGCTCTTGTGAAACTATAGTCGATGGTGATTGTAGGACGACTGCACCTTGTTGAATGATGCTATAGTCTTTTTTTCTGTTTATTATTATTTCAATTTGTAATCCTTTAATTAATCATTATTTAATAATTAACTTTGTGATTTCGCACGTGCGTGTTGCACGGTGAATACAAAATTTTAATTTATGATCAACAATAATGGGATTCTTGAAACAGAATAAATGATATTCATGGTTATTATATTAATCATTTTCTTTTTGAGAAAATTATTTATCATAAAATATATTTTTTGTTAAAATATCATGAACATTATATTGGTGGACATTCACTATAAAATAAGTTATTGTTCAAAGATAATGAAGTAAACTCCTTGATATTAAAAAGGGAGTTGTAAAGAATATATTTTGTTATATCAAGGGTTAAATACGGTTTGCACCCGAAACCCGAAATTCGAAGTCCAAAATCCGAAACTCGAAAATCCGATCTATCCAATAAAATTAGTAATAAGGATGCACGTACAATTAATATTGTAAGTAGTGACTAAATATATGAAAAATACGATTTTGTCCATAAAATACCATCAATTTGAATACAATTATGGTTAAATTAGGGAAGTTATTTAGAATTATAATACTAGATTTCGAAATAAACTAAAAAAATAATATAAAATCTAACATATAGATTCTTATAGTTATTGTCTCACTAATTATTTGGAAAGTACAGCCATACCCTTAATTCACATAATTAATCTGGAAATAGATAGAGCCGTTGTGTTAGGGAGACCATATATATACGTCACCATCCTTCTATAAAAATGCATAAAAAACAAAATTACACATATACAATAGCAACAAACTTTGTGAAGAAATAAACAAGAAAAACAAATAAAATTCAAATGGCGAAGTTCTCTGAGTACTCTCATTTCGTAGTCGTTCTTGCGCTTCTAGTTTCGGGTAATTGTGATCGTGTTCTTTGTTTGATATCGTCATTCTTTTTTCTTATTAATAAAAAAAATATTTCACATACATATAATATAAAACCATAATCTTTTTCAGTTTGTAAGTAAGTAGACATGGTTAAACACATTGATAAACTTTGATCAAATGTAACAAGAACCAAATCCCAGCAACTTGGAAGCGCATTACCGTCGTATTTTGTCGATATGGGATCAAATTCGAGTAACTCCATTATTTCAAGACAATTCAAAAAGTTGCTGTTACATCAGTCTTAATAAAAATTCAAAGCGGAACGGACCACTACGAATGCAGAAACCAAAAAAAAAAAAAAAAAAAAAAAACGTCGAGAAAAACAAGCGCATTATTTGACAATACATGTCCTAGGAAACAAAGAAATCTTATTAAAGTGTTAAATTACACCAATATTAAAATTATGTTCCATCTCGTTCGCCAAGCATTGCATAAAGCTGTGTCGAAATCACGCCTCGCCTTTTGCTTACTCCTTTTTTTCTGAAATCTCTTTCAGTTTTTCCTTCAATTCACCGGTCTGCATAAGAAAAACTAGGGCTTTAGTGCTCTATATTACCCACAAAAGCACAGTAACAACAATTCAGAACAAAATCGAGAGAGAAGGAAACCTGATGCATGTTAAGGATGATGTCAGATCCTCCAACAAACTCCCCGTTTATGAAAATTTGAGGGAACGTCGGCCAGTGGCTGCAATAAAAAATTATATATATTTATAGCAGAATAAAACATATGGAAGTATAATCTCCTACCGTACATCATCGTCACTCACTACAAGACAAAAAAAGGAATAACTCACCTGAAGGCTTTTACAGCATCTTTTAGCTCAGGGTCTTCTAATATATTTCTTGCACCTACAGAAACATCTGCAAAACCGTATGCAGTGATAAGAAGGTAACAAAAACAAATTGTGTATTTAAATTGCACGCAAGTAAAAAGAAGCATTCCATGTGAACAACGCTATAGACGTAAGCAAAACATCATACGACAAATTTAAGAAAATACGAGGAACATATGCAAGAATGTATTTAAAAAAAAAAAAGACGAGGCAAAACTTACTGTATTCGTTCAAAACCCTCACTGCTAAAGAACTGAAGCCACATCGAGGAAGAGCAGGCACCCCTTTCATGTATATCATAACAGGGTTTTCTTTCACATCCTGTAAAATTGAATTAAATCACTACCATTAAAATATTAAAAAAAAAAATCGTAGCAAATTTTCAGACACCTAACATGCTGCGACTACAGAATCAGATGAAGGAGATTTTTTACCTGCTCAACAATGTCTTTCAAGGAGAGGTCAGAACTTTGAACTTTACTAGTTGGCTGGAAATCTTCATGTGTATCAGGGTCACTAGGCACAGTAGTGGAAAAACGACGTATGCCCTGGTAGAGAGATCCAGATGCCTGCACAGGCATAAGGCAACAATGAAAATTAATATTAGAGTTGATTCTAACAATGCATTTCCACTAGCAAACATATATCAGGCAGCACAATATTTTATATATCGACACACAAATTCCAGGTCTAATTGTTAATTGCAGGTAGTATAAGCAACCTCTTATTGATTATCGTGAGAAAAAATCACTTTCTTATAAGCTGTGTTAACAAGTTTATTTAATATCTCATCAAAAGCCATCAATTGCTAAGCACTAGTGTAAGCATCAATTTATGGATGATCAGGAAAAGATAGCTTTTCACAAGAAAATATACAACGGAAGACTTAGAAGCCCAAAAAGTCTGATGACAATCACTTCTGGCTCCTCTTTCTCATCATTCACATATAAATCGTGTATTGATTGGATAATTAGTTAAGCTCTTATTTTCATCAACAATTCAAATGAGGCAATTATGTAATTGATTTTCTCGGAGGAGTGAGGTCTCGTGATCAGATGTACGATCAAAACCGGTTACAAAAGGGGACAACGTATCTACAACAATCTACACTAGGTAATGTTATATAAACAAAAAACAAATTGACAAACGACCACTGGTAAAAGCATAAATTCTGGAAAAAGAAAATTTTAAAAAATTGCAATTAGGAGAAGAAGTGATAAACTTACAGTCGAACTAGCAGCTGGAAATCCAACAATGCCTTTATAGATAATACTAGCCAATGATCTTGCCATTATGCTAAAGTCAGTGCTAGTCTCTCAAAGCTGCATAAGAATCCAATTAATAGAAAATTTAATCTATATTACGGAGAGTAAATAGGCATTCACACAAACAAGAACTCGTTGCGGATAGGCTTCTCAAGTATAACTTTTTTTAAAGGTATAAATCAGGTTTAGAATGTATTTGAATGTGGGAATGGTTAAGATGCTAAATTCATTATCTAATGCAACAACACTTTATAGAGGGATTTATTCTGGGGACCCGAAACCCAAAACAGAGATACAAAAGATGCTATAAACAATCACCAAGAGTAATAATGAATTGTAGATAAACATCACCAACTAGCACAAAGAGTGGAAAAAATACGACCCAATACATTGTAGATTAATGAAATAAAAAATTCATGGAAGAATTTCAAACACTAGTCTGGATAATAATAATAAAATAATTACTACAGAAATATAACCAGAACATACATATTCCGCAAAGGTCAACTTTTTCGGGTGTGATCAATACTCTGACTTGGGTAGCAAACTATCGGTTTTACCGGAAAACTGATGGCAAATAGTATTTCAAATGATGCAAATTCCAATAAAATCTGTATACATAGCGATGGTTGAAAGGGAAAAACGGAAAGAAAAGGACTATCTTTGATATTCGGGAACCTGATGGCAAACAAATGAACATCTCTGGCCTAGACCATTTCACTAAATTTACCATACTTCAGAGAATTTCATATTCATGTGACAAATTACCAATTAATACCAACTACCGAGGTTTTTCCTATCATTAAATACCAACTATTACAATTAAAGATCATGTTTTTACTTTCAATTAGAGCTACTATTTTTGCATAATGTTGCTGGCGGTTGCAGACTTCTAGTCAAAGAAGCATCTATCTAGACTGAGTACAAATTTGCATATTGCCATACAAGTTCCAGAACAGATTCCTTCTAAAACAAAAAAAACAAACACACACACACTAAGTAATCATATAGCTGCTACCTCTTATATTATCACTACAGTAAAATTGCAGTTGATTTTCGAATATATGTATCTATATATTTCCAAAATTTTGGTCACGGGCAAAAGAAAGTGGTATCAAGCTGGTAAAACAATAGAATACACACACTTCAATTCATAAACAATACATTAATCGAACGGAAAGAATTTACCTAATTCGAAATTAGGGTTTTTTATTTTCAGATGGTCGAGTGAGCAGGCGGATGGAGGTGGCGTTGCCGCGTTCGTCGAGATTCGAGAGAAGAGGGATTGAGGCGGCGGTGGCGGAAACTTCTGGAAACGATTTCGTCAACCGCGTAGGATTAAATCCCTTCAGTTTTCAGTTCGGTGGAAAATTGTTTGGGTGATTTGGCTTTTGGAGGCCGACCGATTCAGAGCAGCAGAACGGGTAACTAAAAATTGGGGTGAGAATGATGATGAATTTGAGAAACGAGAAAAAAAAAAGAATATTTATATTTTCCTCCCCTGAAGTTTGGGATTTTTGCAAATACCACCCTTGTATAATCTCTAATTGCAAACAAAACCCTCGTGTAACCCCCTAATTCTGCATGTGAAAAAACATGTTTGAAGCCGATTTTATCTCATTTATGTTCAGTAGACTGGTTGCATGTGAAAATATACTCGAAAAAAATGAAATAAATTATGGGTTTTTATAAATTTAATTATAAAAATGGCGTAGTATTGTCGGAGAGGAGTTTTTTTATTTATTTTTTTCCCTCCGATTTCAGCCTCAATCGTGGTCATGTGTTACACTGTTGCGTTTTTCGTTAGTTCCTAGCGGATTTCGAACGCTCTGGATCAAATTCGTTAGTTCACCTTGACACATGTTGGACGAAAATGAAACGGAGAACTATCTTATTTGAAAGTTCAACGCCATTAACGATAGACAAAGTCTACGTTCGGAAGTAGCTAAACAAATCATCTTGTTCGACAAGCGAATGCTATGAAATTTTCTTTATCATAAACCCGATAAAATAAAATATCATCGTATGTTCGCCGAAAAGATAATCTTTTTTCGCTATGGTTTGCGATTCATTGTTTCGTTTCTGAGAAGAACTGAGACAAGTGTTCAATTTAGCAAAATTAATTAAATCTTGCAGTTGGTACTAGCAAAATTCTATTAATTTAGCCAAATATTAAATTATCAAATTAATATTTAACACTTTACCACTGAGTCGGGACCGGTGATAAATTATTATTTAAGCGATGTTATTAATTAATCAATTATTTATTTATCGAGGTTGTACATATTTTGCTTTTCAATCAATCAACAATATCAAAAAGGGCAATGCAAAATCTTTTGGTTGTTGAAACATTAATAACTAATAGTATGGAAAAAGACAGGCTTTAATGTAAATACCGGTTCTTTGGATGCTACACTTATCGAGGTTTATTAGCCGTTGATCTGCACATAATCACACACATTCTCTACCGCGATGGTAATTACCCGATTCCTCATTTGAAGTACAAAATCAGAACACTTAAGTTATTATTACCAATTTGTTTTATTACCTATATGAAATATTTGTGATAGAGTTCCTTAGCTATAGCAAGAGCATCACCTTGTGCCTTTAATGGGTAAATCTCCACACTTTTTTGCCACTTGTTTGAATATGCAATCCACTCTTTTCTCCATTCCTCCAATTTAAATTCCTCGTTTTCTTCTAAGCTTTTCGATAAACGCGTAAAATACATCGATGCCCGTGGAAGATAGTACGCTTCTAATAGTCCGCTCCAAAACTTATTCCCTTGAACCAAGAAAGAAAAAAAGCAAGTAATCATCGAAACCCCCCTCACAAAGAAAAATCGAAAAAATAAAAAGGTAAAGAAATGAACCTACCGTAGTCATGAAGCTTGCTCTGCACGGACTTAGTGTTGTCGTACCACATTGTTACTTGTGTCCTTGCATTCCACTCGTACTAAATCGCGAGCGTATGATTAGAATGAAAGATAATCGAATAATTAAGTGATTTAATCACCGAAAGAGGGAGATGAAGAAAAGCATATTCTCACCTGCTTCTTTTCATCTGCATTCGACGAAAGCTTTTTTGCACTTTCGAGCCAAGTGCCGAGTAGAAAATTATCGTCCGAAGCAAGAAGTTTATCGATGTCTTTGATGAGTTGTAGGAATTTCAGAGAATGAAAACTTAGAGCTTTTGCATCCTTATCCTGAAAAGCATTTATCGCACTCAAGTACACCTCGTTTGCAAGTTTCGAGAGTGACTGCCTTGTTAAATCCACCAAATCGTACCTGCAACAAATTCAATTTCGGTATGTGTCTATATCGGAAAAAAATCTACAATTTGCGAATTGATTTTTCTTTTTTCTTTTTTTTTAATGGCGATTGAAGTTTTTACCTGTACGTGGGAATTTCAGCGAGTTCATTTCCAGCATCGATGAACAGCTTTAAGGCAGTGATGGAGTCCCGATTGTTATACCATAAATGAGGCTGAGGCAAAAAAGACATCGTTTCGTGGATAAAAAACCTCATCTTTTGTTGTACACCCGTAAATTTACGCCTCTGAATTATTTCGAGTTGATTATTTACGGATGGATCCCAATCAGGAAATTTCACTATGTAGTCCTTGTTATGGTTCTGCATGAAATTGAGTGGAAACCGATTAATCGGTGAAACTAGAGGAGAAGCAGGATTTTTCAATAAAAAACACTGCGAGATTAAAAAAATTAAATCGTTGAATTGATTTAACTCAGAAAAAAAGCGTACTGCAATTCCATCAGTGCAGTTATATATGGTACGATGAAGAATTTTCCATGCAGACTCGACTTCATTTACAGATTTACCATATCGTCTACGTGAATAAGTTGTCAGCCATTCCTGCAAGTTAAAAGCACAGAAATTTGATATAACTAACTTGAGTACCCGAAAAAGGTTGTTAAAATCGGAAGTAAATTCGCAAAATCCCGATTTACATTTTTACTACCGCATAACTTCTAAAATTGTAGTAATAAGCCATGTAAAAATCATTCGGCATCGGGATCAAAATTGGTGAAGTTGCGATTTTTTTTAGGGATTTTACTTTTTTAAATCGAATAAAAGCCCATACTTTTTCTTACCTCGAGTTGAACTGAATCATTTCGAAATGCCATTTCAGACATAAGCTCATACACGACAGGATTTTGTTCGATTCCTTCCATGCACATGCCGACACCAATCTGTCGTCGAAAGCAGATAAATTAAAATACTAAAAAAGAGAAATTGGTGGAATTATCGAAGCAGAATAGCTTACCATTGTCGAATTGTTGCTGGTACGAGCATCGATAGGTCCTGAAGCCACTGCATCCAATACACCATACATTTCGATATTTCCACCAAAGTTATGCAGCATACACCTGTTGTTACATACTAGATGTTACTAAACGAGAAACGGAAAATCGAATTGAATCTAAGCAGCGGAAAACTTCGAAGATAATTATTAAAAAAAATGTAATAAAGCAACTATTTTGAAGTACGAGATCAAATCGCAGTGAAGCAGTTACATGCCATATATAAGGAGTGTTGTAAAACTGAGATGAAGATTTCCAAATTGGTTTGACGTCAGCAAATAGATCGAGCACTATCATCTTCCCAAACGGGACAGAATGTAGAAGTGCCTGCCAAAAATCAAAATTAGATTCATTAATAGAACTATTAAGAGAAGCCAACTCAGTCTGAAAAGGCGAAGAACAATTGCAAGACTAATAAAGAAGATATTATTAGACACTAAGTGTTTGGCTAAGCTTATAAGATGTTAAAAGGAGCTTATAAGATGTTTTAGAGCTTATAAGCTCTTCCAAAGTGTTTGGTAAATTTATAAAAAAAAAAATCTTATTTTTTTTAAAAATAAGGTGTTGGAGAGCAAATAATATCTTTTAAAAAAAAGTACCTCTACCCCACATTTTTATTTAAGATCTTATAATGAGTAAAAAGAGGAAATAAACTCATTATCCAAACACTCTAAAAATTAATCCTAAAAGTAAGATGTAACAGCTTATCAGCTCTAAAAACATCTTATCTGACGTAAGAGCTTATCAGCTGTTCAAAATAAGCTTAGCATATCAAATATAAAAATGAAGGTGAATGTATTTTCTCGACTCTAGTACCTCATACCTTCATTTGTGGTGGTTGCCAAAACGATGAATCTGTATAGAATAGCCAGCCCTAGAAAATAGATCAAATTGTTAAAGCCGAGCACCATTAAGAAAATAAATAATATTTGATAGAAAAAAAAATATATTTGCGTGCATTTTAAAGGTTGAGTGAAAGCAAGTTTAGCAGCATACTTGCATTAGCCACACAGCATCTTTGTTGACTTTAGACATTGTCGTATATACTGCAGAACCGAGGGATGATATATATGCCGGGTCACTTGTAGGTGGAGTGTTCTCGTTGAACGTGTCACTGAAATCGTAATAATTTCACACTCAAAATAGGGGATGCACAAAATAAGCATCATATGAGCTTTTGTATATCATTAAAAAAATGGCAGTGATTCAGAAATTGTCAAATTGTTTTTACATTTCAGTAAACTTACAAAACTTTTGATACGGAGTTTGTTTAATTTGTAGTAGTCCTAATTCTCTTATCATATAGTCTCTGGTTGACCGAAATCTCAGTCAACTTTGCTAATACAACGTTCGTTCCAAAAAGTAAATATTTAATATAACAGATGTCGGTGATAAGCAAGAATTAAAAAAAATTACCAGCTATAGATGTCTGTGATATCTCCATATTCTGCATCAAGCGTTATAACCCAAAAAAGAGAAATTAATGGATTTTAATTAAAAAAAAGTGTACAGAAAATAAAGCAAAATTAATGGATCCGGATAGTTTTGTCCGTTAATGACTCGTATAAACACGGATTGGTTCCGGTGAACAAACTTTTGATCCCGTTAGATTTTAGATTTTAACTATATTCAATCCATGGAGCCAAATAACAATTTAAACAAATAATAAGAATAATTAAATGCATACCTTTAATCTGTTGTTTGATGAATGCTTCTCCAATTTCAATAAATAAAGGATCAGAAGGATCTAGAAGGTAAGTGCAACACCATCGTGTATCACCGTCAACAGTATTCCTGCAATTAAGGAGTAAATATACATATGAAATAGACTTCTCATTGCGAAAAAGAACTATAGCATGTATCTTATCATACTTCAAATACAAATACAAAAACAAAAGCGTATACTATTGTATGTGCATGATGAATCTCGAATCATTGGAATAAGCTATACGGATCATAAGCTAGCATAGCTCTTTGTCCTAATCTTGACTTGTTGAAAATTACAATTTTACCTTGACCGAATATTGAGTAAATTATACTGTTAAATTACATATAGACCTAACTTAGAAGGATGATGGTGTAACATGCCTTAAGAAACAAATGTTTTAATGAGTAAAAATTTATTTGTTGAATTGTGGTTAGAATTGTAATCTAAATTCAAATAAAAAAAAATAGTGAACAAAAAGAAAAACGAAGTACCAGTCCCCAAGTCGGCTTATGTTTGCTTTCGGAAAAATTTCTTTTAGCGCAGCCGGAACGTTCCCAGAAAATGATGGAAGAACTATCACAAGGCATATATAGTATTTAGGTTCATCAGCGTACATTGGAGTGATAGAAAGGAGGAAAAATATGAAGTGCTAGTAGTTCTAGTAATCGCGAGCCAACTCATAAACAAAATACAGATAAAATCATTAAAACAAAATTGAAGCTGAAGCATACCTGGAGTCATCCCGAGCTCGACCATTCGGGATAATATTTGTTTTTGCAACTTCAACTGTTCGCTTAACCAATTCTCGGTCAAGGGTCCACCCCACCTTCAATTTAAAAGAAGTTGGAATAAGAACCTCTTGGAATCGGAAACCGAGAGCATAAGATGCAGAAACAAGCTAAGAACAATTATTCCAAACTTACGTTTCATCATTCCCTGAAAACTAGCACACTGAAAAGAGAGAGAGAAAAAAAAACCCGAAACCCTTCGAACATAATGAAAGGCCAGAAATGCAAAAGGAAGAAATATGCAAAAACCTGTGTAAGTTTCCCATACGTGCCCAAGCAAGAAAGGCAGGTCCACCAAAGAAATCATTCAAATCGCCCTTAGTAATATTAAACTCCTGTATCAAAAAAATGTAAATTAAAAGTACGACAGTCAAGTATAATTATTACGAGCACTTGAGTTAAGAAAAGACTAATGAAACGTTAAGTAGACCAATTCCATAACAAGTATCAATAAACAAATCAAAGAAAAAAAAATACAATAGTTGTCGAATGACACGAAAAACGTACTGCAAAAACTTTTTGCCAAATGGATTCCTGTCCTGTGAATGCTAGAGGCAGGTTAACTCCTTGAAGTGCCATCCAATCGATTTCCTTTTCCCATCTTTCCCAATCCCACCAAACATATGAATCTGCCAAATAAATGGCCAATTAAAAATCTGCTAAACTATTGACAAAAGCAGCATTTTTTACAGATAAAAGAATGCATGTCGCATATCTCAAATAAGAATAAGAGGCAAACACACACGCGTATATATATGATATTTTATCGTATCACTAATGACCAAGTTGAGAAAAAAAAAGGAGGATTATCCACTCCAAACAATCTCTTGCAGAACCATATTTCTGTCATGCATATCACATTTCAGACATTCAGAAATTCTACAACATTGACTTGATGATGACTCATCGCCTTTGTATCTGATTTCAGCTTCCAGTTGACTTTTTTCCCCATAAGGAACCTTGTCGGAAAGTTGGCAAATTGACATTGGAAAAACTAAACCAGCATATGTAAAGGATTAAAAGGACACATGCACCAGGTAACTACAACAAAAGCAAGCACAAGTTCCGAGAATAAGGTTTCAAGACGAAACAAATTAACCATCAGAATAAAATCAATAAACGTGAAGTAGTTATAAAGTCTTTATCACCATCACTAAGGAAACTCAAAAGCAAAGAAACTTAAAATAGATCCGTATTGAATGCATCTGCATCTACATCGACATATTAGGTCAAAGAAAAAAAAATAGTAACAGAAAAATGATCGGTCGAATAAAATGCTTACAGCTGGAAGTGACAACATTCTGGTAATAGTTCCAAGGAACAGGACGCTGAATCATCACACCCTCGTTTCTCACTGGAGGAAGTGATCCTGGCTTCGGAACTGACGCAAGTTGAGCACCGCCTGTCTTCTCCCAAGAAATGTGGGCCCCACACATGTACTTTAAGTACCAGTAAAGTCCCGATGTGATCTCAACTGCTGTAGTTCCTTTTATCCTAGGTTGCAAGTAAAACAAATATATTATTTTTCAACTTTGCACAAAAAACATGAATGCGTTATTAAAACCATACTCATAAAGTGTTGCCTCTCTTTAATTAAACTTTCAGATGTGATGGCGACAGTGTCGGTTGTCTATTTTTTTCATTTTCATTTTTGCCACTCTTTTTCTCCACTATGGCAACATATCAAATGTAAAACGGAATGTACACAAATAAGATATACGGAGAATACTTCAGTAGGATAAGATAAACCTTGAGAAAAAAAATTGAACATTAGACTGTACCTACATTATCTCAGCCGAATTTCTACTTGAATTCTTGTAATTGCTTATTTGAAAGCAGCTATTTCCACCACAGGCATCCTAGTATTTGAGATCAATTACATATAATTAAAAACATATTGAATACAACAGATCTATTCAACAGAAATAAATCACCCATAAATATATGGGATACTTCAATTCAATAACTTAGTCTGCAGTCTGGTCCCAAAATCAAAACAACCATCATCGCACATTGTTAATAATAAAACAGAAAGAATCCTACGTCGTATTCAACTAGTTCCTGCAAGAGCTTATTTCTCAACAAATCAAAATCTTGATAGTTTTCATACAAGGATCAGCCGCAACGTTGTTACTCTCCAAACATAAAAAAAAAATGATACCGTCACATTTAAGGAAATCGTTCCTCGATGCATGCTGTATTAGTCTATCTACAATAAAGAGTTGAAAAAATCTAATGCAAAAATCACTTCTCTTGGCAAAGTTATAGAGATCATCTCATCGTGACAGTGAATTGGTTGATTGAAAAATAATGAAATCAAGAAAATGGTGGAAGAAACTAAAGAAAGTTCGGGAATCAAGAAACATTATTCTTCATAATAATGTTTTGAATAAAGAACAAAATCCAATCATCAGGAAACAAAAAAAGAAAAACATCGGACAAATGAAGAAAAACCAGAATTCAGTGAGTGATCAATTCATCAAACAGGTGGAGGGCAATACAATTTAGATGAAAGAATACCTTTGTGATGACCTCGAACTCAAAGCTTGACAAATGGGCTGGAAGTAATCTACGAAGAACGCCTCTGGCGGCGGATTCTTGCTCCGATGGAGATGGTTTCTTGGTTGTCAGACGATTCACTAAAGATTCTATAACCTCTGATTCTTGAAATGAAGACGAGGAGCATATGGGTAATAAGAGAATCGAAATTGTTATGAACAACAACTTCAAATTCTTGTAAGATTTCATGTTTCTGAATGTAAAAAAAAAAAAAAAACAGTGCAATTTTTTTCTTGATTGTTCCGAATTTTTATACTGGGAGTGGGACTCAAGAATGGTGAAAAAGAAAAAAACTGATCGTTGGGATTTCAACTTTGGAGGGACTTCCTGGGAAAGAACTCTTCTTTCTTCTCTTCAAGTCCTCCTGATTTATTTATTTATTTTTGGAAACATTTAATCATTTAAAAATAGGGATAATTAGTGAAAACCCCCAATTCATTTACTTATATAAAGGTGGATATAACCTCTTTTTCATTATTAGTGAGAACCCCCTACCTTATATTAAATAATTTATTTTTTAATTAATATTATATTTAATATTACTAATATACCTAATTTGTCCTTCTATGTTATATTTAAAATAACCAAACATATTTTACGTTATATCTATTTCTCTTATTTCTCTCTCCCTTTTCTCTCTATAAACCGCCGCCTCCAACCCTCCCCATCTCTGCGTTGCCGATGCCGCCATCTCCAACCATCTTCCGTCTCTGTGTCGTCGTCTACTCTCTCCTATCGGCGTTCCTCCCTCCACCGCCGCGAAAAGAAAGCGGTCTCCACCCCTGAAATTCTCTCGTCATGGACGGTATTAGGGTTTTCGGTAGGGAGAATGACGAGACTACGCAGCGGCACTAGGGTTGCTATTGCGTTTGAGATTTCAATAGAGACCACCGCCAATATTATTTGATTGTTGTGGTTCTTCTTCTTCTCTGATTTTTTTAACCCAATTCTCGAATCTCAATTTTCTTAGTTGGAGATTTTGGTTGAATTCTTATATTGAAGACTAATTTTATGTTCAATCAATAGTATATTGGATGTTTGTTTTTTGTTGAAATTGTGTTGGTGTTATTTACAGACATATAGTTGTTTTCGTACAGTAATATAGTTGTTTTCGTACAGCAATATAGTTGTTTTCGTACAGTAATATAGTTGTTTTCGTACAACAATATAGTTGTTTTTACTACCTTTTAGTTGATGTTAATAAATAGTTGATTTAACAAATAGAATAGTTGATTTTGATAAATGAGAGTTGTTGGAGATATATAGTTGTTTTAATAACAGTTGTTTAATATAGTTGTTTTTAACATTAGTTGTTTTAATAATAGTTGTTTTATTGAAATATAGTTGTTTTAGCTGAAGATAAAAAAAATACTAAAAAAATATTTTTAAAAAATATAATAGAAAGTTATAAAAAATATTTGTTTTTAAATATAATTTTTTAAATAAGAAATAAATAAATAAACGAAAATTAAAATTAAAATATAAAAATAAAAAGTGCATTTAAGTATGGTATAATATGTAGTGAATAGAGGAAGGGTAAATTTGAGAATAAAAAAAAGATGGGTCTCTCACTAATAAAGGAAAAGGAGCTGGACACATGCTTATTAAAATAATGTTAGAGGGGGTTCTCACTAATAGTCCCTTAAAAATAAGGGGTAATATGCTATGAGCCCCTCATACGAAACCTAATTGGAACTAAATGACAAATCTAAATCCAAATTTTTAATTAAATCCTTAGATTGAAATAATATATGACCCACATCCTTATATTTTTTTTAATCTCTATCTTGCCCTTATACCCTAAATCTTATAACCCACTTATTCACGTTTTTCTCAGATCTATTTTTCTCCGTTATTCTTCTTCTCTCCCGGGTTCTCTCGCTCTCGGCTCTCTCTTCTCGCTCTCTCTCTGTCTCTGGCTCTCGCTCTCGATTTATTTTTCTCGACCTCAAGCTATATCTCTCGCCACAACTCCATCTCATGATTTGAGAGGAGGTGGTGGCTATAACCATGAAATCGACTATGGCGTTGCTGGAGGCGGTGGGGAGGGATGGTGATGGCGGCGGCGGCGGCTCTGGGAAGGCGCATGTGGTGAGCGGCGCCGGTCATGAGGATGGGCTCGTTGGGCGGCGATGCTCAGGGCTGAGGGGATGGTGTCGGTGGTGCTCGTCGTTGGGGGGGGGTTATGGCAGCGTGGGTGTAGCGGCGTGGTGATGTTGGTGTCGCAGATCTAGGGTTTGGTGGAGGAGATCTACGGTTTGGTGGGGCGGATCTAAAATTTTTCGATTTCATGTCTATAGATGTCTATGAGTATCTATGGGTGTCTATGGTGTCTGACGGCTAGGGTTCAAAGGAGGAATTAGGGTTTTAAGAATATGTGACTACGGATTACTATAGGTTCATATGGTGTTCTACGGGTTTCTATAGAAGACTACGTCCGAAAAAAATTAAAAAATCATAATTTTCAATATTATGTAGAAAAAAAGGAAAAATACGAAAATACAAAAAAAAAAAAAAATTGTTCTACGAAAAAAAAAATAATAAAAATGCTAGATGCGAAAATAAAAATGTTAAATGTAGAATGAAAAAAAATGATAAATTCAGTTTAAATATTACTTGGTGCATATTTCATTTTTTGTATGTGGGGGTATTATTGGAATGAAATTTATAAAGGATGTGAAACTAATGTTTTGTTAGACTTGTCATTTAGTTCTAATATGTTTTCTCACCAGGGACCTATATCTTAAAGCCCCTAAAAATAAATGGGTTTACAGTTTGCACCCTTATACTATCGTTATTGACGCATATACCTCCTTGTACTATAAAATGCGACAAAACAGCCCCTCACCTTACCAGTCAACTCTCACATCTCTAACTGTGTTAGTTTATACAGTGTAGTTACCTTTTTACCCTTACTCTTATTTGATAGAAAGTTAATTTTCTGATTTTGTAACTTGGGCAAAAAAAATTGAACACATACATCAAAATAAAAGTGGTTCCAGAAAAATATGACATGTGTAGTGTTTTGACCTAAAACATGAATTTTAGGAATTTTGGGGTTGTTTTGGCATTTTATAGTAGAGGGTATATGCGACAGTGATGATAGTACAATGGTACAAATTGTATTTAACCCAAAAAAAAATTTATATTTCTTATGCTCTACTAGACACGGCCCCGGGTCGGGTCGGGTCCGGGTCCGGGTCGGACCCGCCGGGTCCGGGTCCGAGTTTTGGAGGACCCGAAACCGACCCGCGGGGAGGCGGGTCCGGGTCCGGGGCGGGTCCACTCGGGTCCACCCGGGTCCGGGTCGGTTCCGGGTCGGGCCGGGTCCGAACCGGATTTTGAAACTTTTTCCAAAATATGCTTCAAATGGGGTTCGAACCTGGGTTGTAACGCACTTGAAACGGAATCCGAACCACTGTGACAAGATAAATATTTGGATAATTACTTGCAAGAAATATAAATATACCATATAAACACAGTATAATATTTGGTTAACAAACATCATTTATATTTTTAAATAATTATCTTATAATAAAATCCTCAATAATATTAATAAGTTCTTGTCAATAATTGAGGTAAATCGATTTAAATTAATTGAAATGAGTTATAATCTATTTTTTTAAATAAACATATTATTTTATTTTTCAATCGATTTTTTCACACTATCGATTTTAATAACATAAGTTAATTTGTAATAAGTCAACGCATTTGTTTATATATTGAATTGATTCAATACTTTATATTTTTCAATAGTGGAGATTATATTGATATAGTAATTAATAATAGATGTTTTGATGTATTGAACCGTGATTCTATATATTTTTTTAAAAGTTTCTTATATTGCATTTGTTAATTATTTAATTAAAATTATTTAATAATAATTAATATGAGAAATGTTTCATAATTTCAAAACTAAAAAAAATTTCAAAATTCAATCTTTCTTTTAAATTAAATCGTAATTATTTATATATGCATTTGTTATTAGGGGAGATTTTTAAATATATATGTATTTGTTATTAGGTGAGATTTTTAATATTAAAGATAACGAACCTGACAATTAATAATTTATTAACATTAGTTATTCAATTGTTATAATTATTTTATAGTATTATTTATAATTATATATTTATAGTTAAGATTAATATTGCAATAAGTTACTTTGCCCGAGTGGTTAGTGTTCACTAATCCACTCGGGTTACCCGGGTTCGAAACCCAGAAGCTGCATTTTGGTGATTAATTTCATCAGAAATCCGGGTGGACAACGGGTCCTCGTGCCGGGCCCTCGGGTCCGGGTCTTCGGGTCCACCCGCCGGGTAGACCCGGCGGGTCTCGGGTCCAAGAAGTCGGGACCCGAAACCGACCCATACTTGGCCGGGTCCGGGTCCGGGTCCATGGTCAACGGGTCGGGGCCGGGGCGGGACGGGGCAGTCAATTGGTCGGGTCCGGGCCGGGTCCGGGTCAGACCCGACCCGTGGCTATGTCTATGCTCTACCATAATTAATCATAATTATTAATTTTAAATATTGATGGTACCCTAAAATTCAAGAATACATTGATAAATAGAAGTTAGTGACTAAATAAGTAAAAGTCGGTGAGTGTTAGTACAATTACAAATTTACACATAATTGTTCACTTCTAGTGGGGGTGGGGGTGGGGTACTGTTTGTAAATATTAAGTTAAACTAACATTTTTCCAAAATAATGACTAGTCTAATATATGACAATAATAATTATAATAAAATTTATGAGTGATATCGGTAACAACATTACTTTTTATACAAATTTAATAATACATACTCATTTCGAAAAAAAAATATATAAACTTAATTGTCATAATATGAAATTGGTCATTAAATAAATGAAGCGAAGAAGAATTAGAGAAAATAGACTAGATAATAGGAGGTAAAAATAATAATAACAATTATAAAAATATAGTGTTGTGGATAAGGATTGTGCTAGTCGAGATTTGGTGAGAAGTAATTAGAAAAAAAAAAAAACTGCAAAATATATATATACATAAAATATTGTTTTGTTTTTTACAGATATGCCATTAGAGTTTCTTAGGCTGCCGTAGCATTTCTTATTTCTTTCTAAGATTACCAAAATTTCCCTCACTTATTCATAACTACCTAAAAATCCCTTTGACTAACGGTTGACCAAAATTCTTAACAAAAAACATGCAATGTACGACTATATGCTCTCAAGTTAAATAAAATTTAGAAAAATAATAAAATTACTAAAACCCCCTCTATGTATAGTTGATTATCCAAAAAAACCCTCAAATATCTATAATTACTAAGAGAACCCAAGGTTTGTTACAATTTAACGACTCCATTACAATATCTTTTTTTTTTTTTTTTTGCAAATTCCGACCTATTATATTTTTGCTCTGACGATATTGTCAATGACATTTCGACAACATGAAAATGAAGATTACTTTCGATGATATTTACGATATCAATATTATTATATATTTAATATTATATGTGAATTAAAAAAATATATAATTATTGAATTCAAAAACTAGAACACAATTTAACCAACTCTTTATATTCTCCCCAAACAAATGATATTTTAGCTCAATTTCTAGTACAGTTTGTTTGTCCTAGTCACTCTATTATTATCTTTTTCTATTTTTTTTTTTTACTTTTAATTATATGCAGAAAAACAGTATTTTTAATAATATGCACAAAATTAACTATTCCATCTTGAAATATACTATCTTTCATAATTACAATATTTATTGTTTTAAAGTAATACAATAGATAATACATACCTCCTTCTCCTTGATCACCAGCCAGGTGGTTCAAAGTTCAAACCGCGAGGGGCTAAACTAGGGGTGCAAAATGAGTCGAGCCTGCTCGACAAAAGCTAGAACTCGAAATCAAAATTTTCGAGCTCGAACTCTAGATTTCTGACGAGTCGAACCTGAGCTCATTTTTAATTGTTCGTGAGCTTGCGAGCTTATTTTTATTTTATTTTATCTTTTATTTTTATTTTAAATACAATTAACATAAAATAAATAATAAATTCATATAAATAATTAAAAAATATATTACAGATCATTTTTTTAATTCAATTTTTTTATTATAGCTTATTATAATAAATTTCTAATTATATTAATAAAAAATAAAAAAGAATATACAAAACGGCTCAGGCTCGAGCTCGAGCTCAGAAAAACAATACTCGAAGAGCTCGAGCTCATCAAAAGGGATGCGAGCTCGAGCTCCAGCTCGCCAAAACAGCCAAACTCGGCTTGTGCTCGGCTCGTTTACACCCCTAAGCTAAACACACAACATTATAAGGGCCTTTTTGCAAATAAAATAATACTGGAGGTTTTTTTATTTAACAATTCAATACAACACAGGGTAGTAAATAGTAAATACTAAATACAATAAACTCCTTCATATAGTGAGGAAGTTCCTTTCCTTCAAGCTTTCAACAGTGTCCTCAATGCTCACTTCCATAGGCATGAAATTGATGCCCAAACCCTCTGCTCTCTTCTTCGACACCTCGTACGTTGGTTCTTCCGTTTCACTGCCATTTAAAATAATCAGAAAGTTAGCATTTCTTAATTACGAGATATAAAATTTATTTTTGTCGAACACTATTGACATAGAGAAAAAATGAGGTAGTACGTGAAAAGACGAATACGCTTACGCTAGAGGAACATCGATGGAAGGATAAAGCTTATGCAGAATCTGCTGAGTCGCAGAATGACTCAGCATTGCTCCGACCAGAATATATCTGCCGCTAGCTGATGGATTCTCGAAAGCCGTAATGTGTGCATTAGCAACGTCTCTAACATCAACGAATCTATATGATTTGTATACTTCCTTCCCTGTCGAACGAGAATTAACAACATAATGCTTAGCTAATTATGGTCTTCTAATTACATGATTACTTTTCAGGCATAGGTTTCGTGGTAAATTACGGCCACCTCTGAGATAAGGTCAAATTACGAAAAAACCCCATCATGTTTGGTTAATTACAACCACCCATCAATTATGAATCTTCTTACACGTTCACCTTTAGTGGAATCGTCTAAATAATGGGGAATATTCTCCAGTTTGTACCCGTTTTACCCCAATCGAACTCCACATTTAATTTGAAACAGGATGATCATTAGATGTGTCTCATGGTTTTTAAATATCAGATTGTGGTGCATCAGAAATTGCATTTTTCACAAAACGAGTACAAACTGTAGAACATCTCATGGGATTTAGAAGATTATGTTGAATTTGACACCATAAAGGTGAACGTGTAAGATGATTCATAGTTAAAGGGTGGTTGTAATTACCCAAACAGAAGGGTTTTTTCGTAATTTAACTTTACCTCAGGGGTAGCCGTAATTTACCCTATATATATATATTAATATATGTGTATATGATACCTTTAACGATGTCCAAGAAAAGCAGAGAAGTGAAATTGAGAGTTGGCTGAAGGAGAGGACCGATCACAAGGACAGGATGTTGGAATAAACATGAATAAATCCCATGGAACCGTCATGCCGAATCATCAAGAATATTGTGCATAAACTTAAATCGGAAGCGTACCTTACTCCGGTGGAATTGATATGACACGATCATGGATCTTCCAGATCATCATGTACATCCGAACCCGAGAACCCTTTAACTTCTCTTCGTTTTCTTTATGTCGATGGAATACATAGAGAATGGAATTCGTACATGTGACCCGGGGACCATGACCAATATATATAGATAACCTAATGGGCTATCTTATGTAATTTTATTTTAGCCCATCACTATAATAAAATTACTCTAATGTCTCTACACATTAAAGGCCCACACCCTATTAGACACATTAAAGCCTAATCCAGATAAACTTTAGTCGATCACTTTAACGGGCTTAACTTTACGTGACAGTCTTGCAACACATAATATTTCACATATAAGTCCAACGTTGGATTAATGTTCCAACAATCTCCCACTTGGACTATATGTGTAACTTTATAATTATAGGTTGCATAAATAAATTTTGAGCTCAACTTTGCTGTCATTACTGAAGTGTGTCTATAACCAATCTCGTCCATCAATCATGTTAACACTGAATCAAAGGGGCCTTCGTTCACATTAGTCGTAACGGGACTCAACAATGGTCACAATATCAACAAAATTGAATGACATAGATTATGATGTGGATGTGTAGGATGGAAATGTCATGCAATGTGACCTTAACATACCTATTTCCAATTGGTCCTCCTTAACGAGATCAAACCTTCACAAATCAGAGTGTGAATAAACCAAAACCTTATTTCTGCAGAAATTATCCTAAGAGTATCCTTAATCCGAATTAACCCAAAAATTGTGTCTACGCCAAAAGAACACATTTATTATAAACTCCCACTAAAACCGAATATCCTTAATTAATATGACACCCATACGAGCAATATGCTCATGAGACCTTTTGGGTGACATCCTTAGTGTGCACACATAATGGAGTTTATATCGACGTATTCTATAGACACCTATCCACTCTGTATATTACAAAATAAGATGCTTTTATAAACTGATTACCGTAGTTAAAAGATTTTGGGTGTTGGCTAAACACTCGTACTTAAATTCTCTTTTAATTAGGTATACATTAAATGGATCTATAATGTACAAGCATCATACAAACTCGAAATCAAAAAACCAAATGATCTCCCAAATCAACTGATTTCGATAAATGAGCATAAATGACCTTATGTTCTCTATAATTACTGTATAATCCTTTTGTTTCTTTTCAAATATCTACTTTAAGGAATTATTTAAATATCTGCCTAACTTTATGTACGATTTAGCCGAATGCGTACATACCGAAGTATGCATATAATTTCCCAAAGTTGACAGCATAGGGAACCTTTTGCATTCTTCTTTTACCGTAAGATCTTTATTGGGCATTGAGTGTGTATCACATGGTATATACAAACATTAACTTTATTTACCTCACAAATATGAGATAATCATTATGAGTTGTAACACCGTTTAGGGAATCCTAAAACTATAAAACAGAGTCTGTATTGAGTGAAACTCTAGGTGATTAGACTTTAGTTATAACTTTTTCAACATTGCCGATTGAAATTCAAACGGTCTCAAATATACATTTGTGACCAAATGATTTCACACTTTGACAATTGATAAGATCCCAAATGTCATTATCATCTTAAGTTTAACTTAATTTAATATTGTATTCTCTTAAGGTTGTTGAGTTTATCTTTAAGGAGCAATTTCCTTCATGTGGGAGAAGACAGTATTTTTATTATTGTCTATAGCAACAAAATGAGAAAAATAAATTCTCTCTTTCATACAACAATGAGTATAACCCTTCCCCCCCTTAAACTCAATATCCTTAAGAGATCTTATACATCCCGTCTTTAAAACCATATGTTGCAGTCTTTAGTGCTTCTCTTAAGATTAGAAGCAAAACCTTACTTGTCATTTGACATACTTTGGAGACTCATATCTTTAAATAACAGATAAAGCGGACATGATTCTGTTACTTTTGGAAAATCTATTATTATGTCTCTACTGCAACAATGTGTCATTCTATGGGATAATAGCTAACTAAGTACTTTTAGTCTTTTCTCACTTATGTCATTTTATTCCTACACATAGTCAAATAAAAGCTGACAAATAATTCATTTATCCTTCAGGTTTTGAAACAAACCTTATGTTGACTATAGATGTAGAAAGAAAAATCAAACCATATGCACTTAATTAAAGTTAATAAATCGTAACTTTAGTGCTTAAGCCGAAAGTGAGATTAAACTAATACTGAATGTACTCCTTTATATTTCTTTTCTTTTATTAATAATGAAACAAGATTAGTCAAAACTATACTTGATTCAAACTTGTCATTTTAATAATAAAACGTATCAAAAGTGCCTTAAGAAATATTCTAGTACTTGCCCTATCAATCTTGATGCCCTTAAAGATTTCTTAAATGGTGCACCAAATGATCTTAATACTTATAATTAGAACGATCATATTCTTTAAGTCCCTTTTACCTTAACCTTAAGGAAACTTTTAATTCCGAAAAAACTAGTTGTTCGTTCTATTTAAAAGATAAAATGAAGATATGTGCACCCTAAATAATAAGTAAATTGTGCTATAAAGCACAAGAACCAAAATTAACATTGATAGATAATACAGAAGCGGAAGCATGAATTTAGAGAACATATACAAGAACACATGCTCACAACTACTATTATGTCATAGAAATATCAAATAGAATCTATGTATGTATGACATAATTAAACGGAATCGGGTTCATTTATCATAAAATACTTAGCCCAATGTTAACATGACGTTATGGACTACTCGTTAACTTTTAAGCGGCAACTTTTTATAAATAAATATTGACGGTAAACTATCGTGTCAAACAATAAATCTACCTTAGGGCCAATTTACAGTTCGCATGAAATTCTAATAACCGTCACATATTTATTATATATCAACCACAAAATTCAAATAAAGGTATATTCCATCTCAAGATATCGGGCACTCCATTAATAACTTATCTTTGGACAATGATATTAACTTGTAAGTGATATCTTGGTGTAGTAATCAAACACTGACAATAAAAGCACATCAAATAATAATTCTACCTTAGGGCCAAACTATTATTCACATGCAAAACACCAAATAATCGCCACGCGTTTACCACCACAATATGCACATGCAATTCAGCAAAGTATTGGCCTTCCTTAGGGCCGACACAATACCCACATTATTACATGCACAAAACCTTTTGTATTTTAAAATAAATTAAGTTTCACAGGAGAGCTCACTTAGGCGAGATGCTGCTTCTCTTAATTCATATCAAAATACATAAACCAAACCAATATTTGAATTTTAACTGAATTTAAGCCTTTAGACTTTCTCAAACAATCTTTAGTCAGAGGCCTAATTAAATTACCTTATGAACCCAAATCCCACGTTATTTAGATTTAAAGTCAAAATAAAGTCGACTAGAAATCTTCACTTTATAACCCAAAGATGAGCCTAAACAATAAATCATAAAAATTCATATTTATTTGAATTTGAGCTTAAAGTACAAAAATGAGCTCACAAATTCAACCTTATTAGATTTAAAGCCAACAATAAATTTCGGAGAAATAAATACAAATTCTTATGAATTTTCACAAAACAATGAAGACTCAAATTTATAATAAAGTCACGAGTCTACGTGCCAAATATCGATTGGGTCAAAGCTTATTGAGTTATACATGATAACCCATACATATATTGACAAACAACCATTACTTTAATGAGTCAAAACCTATTGAATTATAATAATTCATATCCATAATTTGACTAATTAATCCAAATTTCAATCCAAAAAAAAAGACCCGAACTTTAGAAATCTGAAAATTCCCCAAAATAAAATGCCTAAGGAAACTAAATTGAAATTCAAACTGAATCTCACTTTATTGACCAAACAAGTTCTTAAAGAGAATTAAAAAATAATTCACTTATTCGTTTGATTCTTCACAATAACTTAAATTTCAAGTGGCCCCAAAACCTTTTGTAAAAAAAAAACTTAAAATCAATTTTCCATTCCTTAAAAAATTGCATTTGCCCCAAATTCAGAAAAGCCAAAAAAAACTTGGACCGAATAGAAATTTTGAAAGAAAAGCTTTTGAGTGAAAAGGGACTGAAATGCACAGTTTTTCAGAGAAACTTTAAAGCTGGGGACTGAAATGCACTTTTCAGAAGCTTTAGGCCCAAAATCAGATTTTCATTTATTACAAATCACCCCGGCCCAAAATCAGGAATAACTTAAATTTGGAGACCAAATTAAAATTTCAGAGAATTTCAATTACAACCTCAGGGGGGCAAATTTTAATTTCATAAACCATAAATTCCTTGACCTAATCCAAATCCACAAAGCGGCCGTGCAAATTAGCAGAACATAAATGGGGGACTTAATAGCAATTTTAATGAACCTTAACGTGGTTAATTGCAATTTCCCAAAAAACTTAATCAACCTAATTTTGCTTCTTCAGCAAACAAACCGCCGTCACACACCTTCTGCCATCAAAACCGCCGCTAGACCACCATATCACCCCGTCTCGCCTGAACTATTGCCGGAAGAGGAAAATTACTGTTGTGACCTCGCATCATCGCGTATCTAGAACCCGTCGCGAAGAGGAGTGCGGTTACTATCCCCTCCGTCGGCGTCATAGCAGGGCTGCAGTATGTGGGTTTGATGGTGGTGGGCGGCGTGGCCATATAACATATACCAGTTGGCTGCCGCCCCTTATTGCGAGGTGTTGAGTTTTGACAGAAAAAAAAACTGATCGACCGCCGCACCAGTCCTTGATCCTTAATTTTCAGATTTGATTCCTTTAACCTTAATTCTTATTCTTAATGAATGAATCCTTAAAACTTTAATCCGAATTTTCAAATTCAAGCAACAATTGTGCAATTCACTTAATATGAATAAAATATCATATATAATCATGAAACCCTAATTCAGAAAAGCTAATACCTAATACAAGGCAACAGGTTTCATAATATTAATATAAACATATCTGATTCGAGATTAAAACCTAATTGCAGAACGTACTGAATATCATATAAATATCTGGCCGAAACTTTGAAAATTAAATTCATGAAAAACATAGATTTCTCGTAATAACAACTTGACGAGAATTGTTAAAATTCTCGATGATTCAAAACATGGTGGCTCTGATACCACTTGTTGGAATAAACATGAATAAATCCCATGGAACCGTCATGCCGAATCATCAAGAATATTGTGCATAAACTTAAATCGGAAGCGTACCTTACTCCGGTGGAATTGATATGACACGATCATGGATCTTCCAGATCATCATGTACATCCGAACCCGAGAACCCTTTAACTTCTCTTCGTTTTCTTTATGTCGATGGAATACATAGAGAATGGAATTCGTACATGTGACCCGGGGACCATGACCAATATATATAGATAACCTAATGGGCTATCTTATGTAATTTTATTTTAGCCCATCACTATAATAAAATTACTCTAATGTCTCTACACATTAAAGGCCCACACCCTATTAGACACATTAAAGCCTAATCCAGATAAACTTTAGTCGATCACTTTAACGGGCTTAACTTTACGTGACAGTCTTGCAACACATAATATTTCACATATAAGTCCAACGTTGGATTAATGTTCCAACACAGGATTCATTGTGACCAAGTCAATGCCGTTTTCTCGTGCAAATTTCCACGCAGCTTGCTCGGCCAAGGTTTTTGCAAGAGGATACCACAGCTGGAACCATAGTTAGTTTCGTTCAGTAACCACGGTTAGTAAAAACGTACGATTCTCTGAGATAAACAATTAAAACAAACCTTAGCTTCTTCGCAGAATACCGTGTCTGAAAACCAGGTTTCGTCCACCACAACACCGTCGATTTTCGGCTTTTCGTTGAACATAACCGAAGCAATCGAGGAAGTTATCACCACTCGTCTAACGGATGACGCTTTGCTGCATGAATTCATGACATTGAGCGTTCCGTTTACTGCCGGTTCGATCAGCTCTGCCTAAATAAATGCCAAAAGGACTAATTAAATCTTCGAACGATTCAAAAACAAACATAATATTTTAATTTTAGTTGCATTTATGTTTACGGGAAAAAGGAAAAAACGAAGCACCTTTGCATCGGAAGGTGAAAGGATAACAGGGGAAGCTGTATGGAAAACAGCCACACAGCCATCAATTACTGAATCGAACGATCCTTCATCGATTAAGTCGGCTTCGAATATGTGTAATCTTTCATCGGCTCCTTCAAGTGCCTTTAGATGCCCTACTTTACTTGGATCGCCTATTTTCGTACAAATTTACGAACGAAATTAACGAAAAAGAGATTCAAAAAAAAAAGTATATACAATCTTACGAAGATTAAGTTGTATGGTTGGATAAATGGTTAAATGCACTTAGTTATAATTAATAAACAGTCAATTAGGAGAGTTGGTGCCTAATCTTTGATCACCGGTCGAAGTCTAGGGTTTGAATGTTAATTTTCCCCTATGATGTGGCTTATTCCTTAATTAAAATACAGTAAAACTTATATAAATTAATACAGTCGGGACTAATAAAATTCTATTAATTTAGCAAAATATTAAATTATTGAACTGATAATTAATACATGTTTACCGAGCCGGGACCGGACAAGATAATGAAGGGAGGTTATTAATTTATCGAGTATTAATTTATAGAGGTTCTATTGTAGAAGGAATTGATCCCATCCCACATTAATTAAATAGTAAAAAAATATATTTAATCTTCAGCATAATCAACATTTTAAGGTACATGATCTCTTATTGACTTAATTGATTTCTAGTATTGAGTTAATTATCAACACACGATATCATCTGACTTAAGCGTCGGAGTGTAATCGCCAGGGAACTCTCGGGCGTGTCACATAGTGTTTTAAGTGGTTTTGCAGGAAAGAGGAACAAAACATCGCGCACTTAGATCAACGGAATTAAAACTCGTGGCATTCGAACCCGCACGCATTCCTAAACAATTCTCCAAATCAACCTTTGAACTACTCATCTCGAGTTATTTAACTACACACAAACAGCACAATAAGCCCCAATTAAAATTTTCTAATTGCACATATTAAGGCACATTTATCATGGTAGGATTATTAGTTCTCAAAAACAAATCAAGGACTTATTTATGTGCGTGCGTGTGTGTGTGTGTGTGTGTGTGTGAGAGAGAGAGAGAGAGAGACTAACTGAGATTGCGAACGGTGGCTCTGACAGTATAACCACGGTGAAGCAAAAGCTTAACCAGCCATGATGCTATGTAACCCGATGCTCCTGTCACGCACACGACCTTTCCCCCTTCGCTCATCCTTTCTCTCTCTCTCTCTCTCTCTCTCTCTCTCTCTCTCTCTCTATATATATATATATATATATATATATATATCTATATACGTCTTTCTCTCTCTAGAATTACGCAGTGGTGTGTGAAATGTTTGATGAACTGAATTCTTCGCTCAGCCACTAATATACGTCTTAGAAATATCTCCTGGCCCGGGCAAACACGTGGCCGCCGGCAAGGAATAAAAATTTGGAGTAAGTTACAACCACACTCCTGAAATAAAGTGTAGTTACACAAAAACTCCTTATTTTTGAGAAATTACATCTAGACCCTGCATTTTGTAAATTTCTTACATTCGCCCCCTACAAAAGGGTGTTAATGCAAAAAATACACAAATGGCAGGGATATCGATGGAATTATGAAAACATGAGGAGTTTTTTGTAAATAGCTCTTATCTGAAGGGAGTGATTGTAGTTTACCCAAAAATGTCATCATGTCAGCATAATGGAATATAATATTCGGCTTTTCCCAATGGCTCACATCTTCTTTTAAGTACATAAAGTAGTTATTTCCATCTTCATCCCACTTTACACCCTTGTAATATAGTTTCTTCATTCTTGACACCCGTCACCGTAAAGAACAATTAATAACAATTTACACAATTGATAATGCAGCTCAAATGAATTTTTAAAGCTAGCGAAGATGATTTAAAATCTTTAGTGGTATTTTTTTAGGATGCCAAATATCAAATCATTTTTTTTATTTTCGTCAATCTTTTCGAAACTACAAAGTGCAAAAATAAAAATACATTTCATCAATATATTAAGGGTCCATTTGATATACACCCCTAGAATGGAAAATATATAGGTATAGGTCCACCCCTAAAATTCTTCCATTGAGATAACCCCCTGGAGATGCAAAAGTACTATTGTGCCCTTAAGTGCAATTTTCGCCCAACTGCATTCAGTATTTCCGTCCCAACATCCAGCATAATGTTGAACTGCATTTAGCATTTTGGGCCTGCATTTATCATTTTTCTAGATTATTTTAATAAAAAATATAAATTCTTATTTTATTATAATTTTTTATATATATATATCGTATTTTGTATTTTTTTAATTTTTTTAATTTTTTAATTTTTAATTTTTTTAATTTTTTAATTTTTTTAATTTTTTAATTTTTTAATTTTTTTAATTTTTTAATTTTTTTAATTCTTTTATTTTTTTTTATTTTGTAATTTTTAATATTTTAATTTTTTAATTTTTTTTTTAAATTTACTGTACTAAATTGACTATATATGACTACAGTATACCACAGTCATGTATAGTTATATGTAATCATGTACTGTCTTTTTACACCAAAATTAATCTAAACCAACAACAAAATTCACAATTTAATCTTGATATTATAAATCAACTAACCCAAAAAAATGAAAAAAACACAATCACATGCATATAATCTTCAAAACACGCATTACTATACATTAAAAAACACATAACATATATATAAATATATGTTACTACACGTGACTATAGTTATATACAATTATCTATATTTATATAAGTGGCATAAGTCTGGAGTCCTGTAGCATGAATCCAACTTCACAAAGGCACTTCATCGAATTTTATTCTCTGCATGTCATAAAACTATAATAAAAGCAAAACCTGCGACAAAAAAATACGAGTTAAATAGCAAAATGGAACATGCGAGTTAGATTACATGAAAAATACAAAAAAAAACATGATTTTTTTGTTGATAAATTTACTGAACTAAAATCGACTACAAATGACTATAGTATACTACAAGTCCTATATATAGTCATGTATAGTTACATGTAGTCATGACTATACATGACTACATGTGACTGACTATATATGACTGTATATGACTAATTATAACTGTATATTCACCTGACTCAAATCACCCATGTAAGTAACCACTACTGGTTAAATTTCTATTACAGACAAACAAAGCTCTCACACATTAGGCATTTCAAATCATCTTCAAATAAATACAAAAAAGAAAAATTATATATGATTTATAATAAAAAAAAATCAAATTACATGAAAAATACAAAAAAAAAAATGATTGTTTTTGTTGATAAATTTACTGAACTAAAATCGACTACAAATGACTATATTATACTAGAAGTCCTATATATAGTCATGTATAGTTACATGTAGTCATGACTATACATGACTACATGTGACTGACTATATATGACTGTATATGACTAAATATAACTGTATATTCACTTGACTCAAATCACCAATGTAAGTAACCACTACTGGTTAAATTTTCATTACAGAAAAACAAAGCTCTCACACTTTAGGCATTTCGAATCATCTTCAAATAAATACAAAAAATAAATTACATATGATTTATAATAAAAAATCATATTAATCCAAAGAAAATATTTTAATATTAATTGTTCATAGATCTTCAAAAACATAGTAGATCTGATTTTTTTTTAAATAAATACAGTAAATATATACGAATCGAAAACCACCAATTCCAAATCTAAAATTCACCATTAATTAGATCTGACACAATTTAAAATTTTCGAATTCAGTTTGTTTCATAAAAAAATAATAAAATAAGGTGACATAGTGATAAGAATTCAGATCTTCGAAAAATAAATTAAAAATGGATTGACATTCATAAATTAAAAAAATAACTAAAGAAAAGTGAAGTGAATTAGTACCGAGTTCAAGGCGGTGGGAGGAGCAACGACGGCCGGCAGCGGAGCAGCGGAGCACGACGGAGCAGCGGAGCACGACAGAGCAACGGAGCACGTCGGAGCACCACGGAGCAACGGAGCACGACGGAGCACGGCAGAGCGGCAGAGTAGCGGAGAAGGCGGAGCGACGGAGAAGCGGAGCGACGGAGAAGGCGGGGAAGCGGAGAAGCGACGGTGGGAGGTGAGAGAGAAGAGAACAAGAATTTTGAGAGAGAGAGAGAGAGAGAGAGAAGAGAAACGTGGGAGAGGGAGAGAGAAAAGAAAACGGCCGTGAGAAAGGGAGAGAGAAATTAAGGAGAGTTGGTGAAATTTAGGGTTTTAGATTGTAACTAAAAGGGTAAAACTGGTATTTCAATTTGTCTAGGGGGGTCTATCAAATTAAGATTAAAATTTGGGTTTTTGACTAGCAAAGAAAAATCCTCAGGACCTTTCCCTATATATTTTCAAAACTAGGGGGTTATCCCTCATTTCCCCATATATTAAAAGAAAGAATCATAAAAAAGATATTATACAAAACATAAAAAGGAATAAAAAGAATTCTTCAGTTATTTTGTTATTCGAAAAATTATATTTATTCCAAAGATTTCACCCAATATTTTCACTAATTAGAATAAAAGATCAATCAATTAAATAATTTAGTGAGAAATTTTTATTTTTTTAGTAAAAAAATATAGTTTTTTCAGTAATTCATTGTGAATTTTGTTTTTTGTTTTTTGCATTTTGTACGCTCAAAATTATGTTGGGGTAGAAGAAAATAACAATTTAATTTGTTATTTAGCAGTTAGCACCTTAGAAAATAAAAAAAAGGGAAAATGTGGGATAACCACCTAGTTTTGAAAATATATATGAGAAGGCCCAATGTTTTTTTCTCTCTAAGGCAAAAACCCAAATTCTAAACTTAATTAGGTAGACCCGCCTAGACAAATTGATATACCTGTTTTACCCTTATAGAATCTGTTTTTTAATCACGTTTGTACGCATTCTCTCTCCACTCCCGTGCAAACCCTAGTCTTCTCTTTCTCGATGTTTTCTCTCTCGTTAGGCAAACCGCCGCTCTGTTCCCCTCTTCTTCCGCCACTGTCATCGCCGCCGTCAAATCAGATGACGAGCAAAGCGAGACCAACGGCACCCTTGACATGTCAGCCAAAAGCGCAACCGCGACGAGGACGGGAAGAGAGACTTCGACGGCGGCAACGACGGAAGCCCTGCTCGGGGGGCGGCCGTGGAGGGTCTAGGGAATTGGTGCTGCAAATTGAAATCGATTTGCTGTTATTATTACTTCATCCTCTTTCCCTTTCTTCTCCATCTCCAAACTAATTATGTCAAGCCAGCAAAAGCAAGCAAAAAATAATTATGGTTTTCTTCTACACTTGGAGTCCCTCAACAGGTTTGCCTCCATTTCTCATTTCTTACACTAATTGATAATGGATTTGCCACTGAGCTTCCAGATCTGAGAATATTTTCATTTAAAATATTTTATTTTTTTGAAATTAGAAAATATGGTTCTTAAAAAAAACGAGCTCTGAGATTGGTATGTGATCTTGGATATTATTGAGCTTATGATTTAATTTGTAGATTTAATTCTCAAAAGTGCCAGTGCAGTTAATTATATTACTGAACTTATGATTTAATTTGTAGATTTATATTTTTTCTGTAGATGGTCAGTAAATTGGTGCTGCAAATTGAAATCTCTAGTGTGAAAATGGAACGGCGGCAGTGCCATCACCAGAAAGAAAATGTATAGTTGCGTGTATAAAAGAAAAGGTATAGTCGTTCGTATAAGGTTTGATGTAATTGCATTTTCGATTTTTCTGTTCATTTTCTCTAACTCAGTAGTTTTTGCTGCTTCTATACAGGAAAGAATGATGGGAAAAGTACGCAATGAAGTGAAATTCATTAAGAGTATAGAATACTATAGATGTCTATAATAGTAGATGACTATAGTCATATATAGTAACATATAGTAACATAAATAGTAACATGTAGTCATGTACATGTAGTCATATATAGTCACATGCAGTCATATACATATAGTCATATATAGTCACATGCAGTCATATACATATAGTCATATATAATCACGTGTAGTAACATGTAGTAATATATAATTATATATAAACTATGTGATTTTTCTGATGTATAGTGATGTTGATGATTGTGTTTGTTCATTTTTTTGTGCGGTAATAATTTATGATCACGATTTGTTCTTTGTTGAAGAACATATGCATGTGATTGTGTATTTCGATCTATATTTGTACGAGTTGATTTATAATATCAAGATTTTATTGTGATATTTGTTGTTTGTGTCGATGAAGTTCTTTATTGTATATAATCAGTTTTTTGTATATAATCAGCGGTCTACATAGTCGGTCGACTATATATAAGCGGTCTACATAGTCGGTCGACTATATATAACTGATATATAACTTTGGGGTGAAGAGAAAGTACGGGACAATATATAACTCTCGTGTTGGATGAGGAGTCTGTCAGGCGAGTCGGTGATGATAGAGTGGGAGGACCGGCAGTTTCTCGACAATTACGTCTTATTCGAAACTTGGCTGTACTTGTTTCAGTGTAGGAGAGATTTGCATAGTCACACGTGGTCATATACATATAGTCATATTTAGTCACGTGTAGTCATATACATGTAGTCATATATATTCACGTGTAGTCATATACATGTAGTCATATATAGTCACGTGTAGTCATATACATGTAGTCATATATAGTCATGTGTAGTCATATACATGTAGTCATATATAGTCACGTGTAGTAACTCGTAGTAATATATTGTTATATATAAGCTATATAAGTTATGTGTTTTTTTTGATGTATAGTGATGTTGATGATTGTTTTTTTCCAATTTTTTGTTGGGTATTAATTGATTTATAATATCAAGATTAAATTGTGAATTTTTGTTTTTGGTGTAGATGAAGTTTTTTTTTTTATATAATCATATGTAATATATATACAATAGTCATGTGTAGTCAATTTCAATACAGTAAATTTATCAAAATATTGAAACAAAATTAAAAATTAAAAATTAAAAAAATTAAAAAAATTAAAAAAATTAAAAAAATTAAAAATTTTAAAAAATTAAAAAAATTAAAAATTACAAAAAATTAAACAATTTTAAAAAATTAAAAAAATTAAAAATTACAAAAAAATTAAACAATTTTAAAAAATTAAAAAATTAAAAATACAACAGAGGTATATATAAAATATAACAATAAAATAAACATTTATAATTTTTTATTAAAAAAATCTGATAATATGATAAATGCAGGTATATATGTTAATTGCAGTTGATCATAATGCTGAATGCAGTTATTAACTGAATGTAGTTGGACAAAAAATAGATAGAAGGGCACAATAGTACTTTTGCCTCTCCAGGGGGTTATCTCAAAGGAAGAATTTTAGGGGTGGACCTATCCCTATATATTTTCCATATTAAGGGTGTATATCAAATGGACCCTAAAAAAAAACAAATAATTTTTTTTTTGTGATCATTATGTTTTAAATATTCAATTTATGGTGCATTGTGAATGATATATTATTTCTTGAGCGTGTAAAATGCTACTCCATTCGTTTCCTTTTAATAGTCGATTTTAACTTTGCAAACGGATTAAGGATTTTCATTAAATGTGTCTTGATTTTATGAAAAATGTATGTTTTTAGACTAAAATGACCTTATCTTATAATTAATAAGAGAGAGAGAGAGAGAAATAAATTAAAAAAGTATTATAAAAAGTTTAATAAGGGTATAAACTAGAAATTAAGTAATTAATACAGTATTTGAAATCGAAAGTGACAGATAATATGGAACAAAATATTTTTAAAAATAGACGGTTATTATGGAACAAAGGGAGTCTTAGATTTTTAAAGGGTGCAAAGTGGAATTAAACCGTTATTTCCTTGCTATTGCAATTAAAAATTATTTCTAGCTCGATAAAATCATTTTTTTTTCTTTTTAATTACTCCCTTCATTCCAAAATAATTGACGTTTTATGTTGTTGCGCACATATAAAGAAAAGTAATAAATATGTGTGGATTTTAGGAAAAAAAACATATAATATGACTAAAATACCCATATAATTAGTATCTCATTTCTCAACTAATTAAGAGTAATAACTAAGGAGGGCATAATTGAGAAAATAATAATTAATGCATCACTGTAATTATAAAATGACATATAATATGGAATAAGAAAAACCCTCAAAAATGACAGTTAATTTGGAACAGAGGAAGTATCATCTGGCGATAATGAAGAAAACGTTTCATATTTTATTTGGGATCAAACATCATTTGTATAACACAATAGATGTATTCTTAGGCTTACAAACAACGATTAAATACACATAAATAAATAATTAATTGTTTACATAATTTCTAAAAATTAATTAGAAACTAAGGAAGCCCTTATCCTTCAAACTTTGAACAGAGTCCTTAAGACTCACCTCAACAGGGGTGAAATCTATGCCCAAACTTTTTGCTCTCTCTTTCGACACTTCGTAAGGAAGATTCGCAGGCTCGTTTTCTTCACTACTGCATGCAACCGAACAATCGTAATTAGCCACTTTTACTCTCTAACTCACATTTTTCGAACTTTCGACGATTAAATCAATATATACAGTAGAACCTCGATAAATTAATAACCTCAATTAAATAATAATTTCTCTCGGTCCCGACTCAGTGAAAATGTGTCAAATTAATAACTCGATAATTTAATAATTAGCTAAATTAACAGAATTTATAATTTCCCTAGTCCTGACTGTATTAATTTAAAGAGGTTTAACTGTAAATATACCACGAAAAACTTACCTATGTGGTAGGTCAAGAGAAGGGAAAATCCGATTTAATATTCCGAGCGCTTCGAACGAATAGGTCACCCTTCCGACCAAACAATATCTTCCGTTTGCAGAGGGATTCTCAAACGCTAGAATGTGCGCAAGAGCAACGTCTCTCACGTCAACGTATCGGTATATTCCACTTGTCCATAATTGTTTTCCTGCATAATTAAGCACTTGTTAGTTAATATATATAGATAATCAACTTTTCTTTTTCTATTTTCCCTCAATTTTTTTTTTAATAATAAAATTTTGCCATTCCAAATTTTCACTATCTAGACTTTCGTATCGACTTTTTTTTTTTTTTTTTCGATTGTTATGTGTTTTTCAAACAAGTAAAACATTGAACACCTTCTCTAACGAGATTCAAAAGAGCCTCGGAGGTCAAATTGAGAGTTGGCTGAAGTAGAGGACCGATAACGAAACCCGGGTGTAACGTAACAACATCGAGCCCGTTTTCTTCTGCAAATTTCCATGCAGCCTTCTCTGCTAGAGTTTTCGACAGTGCATACCATTCCTGAAAGTAAAGAGTAATTTTATTACTACTATTATTATTACTACGTTTACTCTTGCAATAAAAGATCGTCTCGAATCAAATACTTCTCTTATTTATTGTTCGTTAATAAAGATAATGAGTTATGCTCTTATTAAAGAACAAAAATCATTTTCTAGAGCTTAGAATCATATATTATAGGGTAAATTACACCTACACCCCTGAGGTATGCTAAAATAACTTTAAGGTCCCTGTAGTATCAGTAATTACAATCATCTCCTTGAAACATTGTTAGGGTTATAACGGACTATCAATTTCAGACAGTGATGGAGACGACATAGAGCTAAGGGGTGACACGCCTCTCCTAACATTTCTTAAATCATTCTTTTATGGGTGAATTGCACCTCACCTCCTGTAAATTTCTAATTTTCACACTTTACCCCCTCAAAATTTTAAAAAGTGAATGCCCCCCTTCAAAATGTTATTCTTGTTGCACGTTGCCCCCATATCAAAATTTCGATGGATTATTATCGTAATTGAGTATTTTTGTTGCATGTAGCCCTTTATATATATGTTATTTTTGTTGCACATTACCCCTTAAAATATTATTTTTTTGCACATTGCCCCTTTAAAATGTTATTTTTGTTGCACAACGCCCACCAAAAATTGGTTTATGGGGTAAAATGCAATCAAAATAATATTTCGAAGGGGGAATATCCATTCTTTTTAATTTTTAGGGGGGAAAGTGCGAAAAACAGAAATTTATAGGGGGCAAGTGCATTTTATCCTTCTTCTATATAAGATTTATGAAGTTTCGTCTATGGTAACATTAAGAGCCCCACGGGAAACAAATATAGTGCATATCGGTCCTAGAATATGAAATTCTGGCTCCGATAATTGTTTCCGAGATGTTGTTGTAATTACCAATACCACATGGAGCTTACATATATTTTAGCATACCTCAGGGGACGTAGGTGTAATGTACCCTATATAATATATACATACCTTTTTTTCCTCGCAGAACAACGGATCAGAATACCAAGTTTCGTCGACTATAGCATCAGAATTTAGTGGACTATGATTGAACATAACGGAAGCCATTGAAGATGTAATAACAACTCGTTTGATCGACGGTACTTTCTTGCATGATCTAAGAACGTTAATCGTTCCCTTCACCGCAGGATCTATCAACTCTGTCTGAGATATGTCAACAACAAAAAATCGAAAATATATATTACTACATTGCGACTCGGTCTAAGTATGTATTAGAAGTTAAAAAAAAAAAAAAAAAAAAAAACGGACCCGTGGATCGGAAACTGAAAGGAAAACGGGAGATGCTGTGTGAAAAACACATTCGCAGGCATCAACTACCGAATCGAAAGATCCTTCTTCGAGTAAGTCGGCTTGATACAAAAACAATCTTTCCTTGGCTCCTTCAAGTGCCATTAGATGTTCAACCTTTCTTGGATCACCTGAGTTCATTTATTTTATTTTATTTTAATGGAAAACGCTTAGTTTCGATTTTTCACACTTTATTTACTGATCATTTTCACAATCAATTTTGGGTTTTCTAATTTTTTTTTTCAACAAAGTTTTGCTAACATTGCTCAATCAATTTTACGCGGGCATTAGAAGTACTTAGCTGAAACAATGATCAGAATTTACTGGATTAACAGCATAAAACCCCCATGTGTTAAGACAAACTTGCACCAAATCCCCCGTGTTCTTTTTACCGCGTAAAACTTTTTGTGTTTCATTTTTTCTTTCATGAAATCCATATTTCCGTTAATAGTTAACACCATTTACTATAGAGGAGAACTTATGCAAGTTTTTTGTAACACAAGGGGATTAGGTGCATGATTTTGCAAACATAAGTAAGTGGGTCTGGACAAAATTAATTTATTCATTTAAAATTCAAATTATTTTCTTAAATTAAGTCGAATACATCTATTATGAAAAAAAATCGAGATGGAAGTTGGAACAAATTCTCAAATTATTTATACTCTTTTCACATATAAAGTAATCCAAAATAAATTATAAGAACATACAATAATTCTAATAAAAAAAATTATATATTTTAAAAAATCAATTTTTTTTAAATACAGTAATAAATTAAATCATATAAAAATGATTTTTTTTTAAATATTCACCACACCTTTTAAATTTCTATTTTCATACTGTAACTTGAATAAATGTGTTCGACTTAATTTAAGAAAATACTATGGATTTTAAACGAATAAATTAATTTTGCATAAAATCCCCTTATATCGTAGAAATATGCATTAAATCCCCCTTTGTTATGAAATCAAAAAATTGCATAATATCCCCTCTATAGTTACCCACGTTAACTTTTAACAGAATGGGATTCCGTGCAAAGTAAAATTAAACACAAGGAGGTTTTTGGCAAATTAAAAAAAAAAGGGGGAAATTTGACGCTGGTTTTCCGGTTTTATGTTGTTTACCCGCATTTACTTGAACCAAAATACATTGGATCTTCTCTATGCAATTATTAAGCAGTTTAATAAAACTCATAAATAAAGTGCTGCTGCATCAAATAAGTACTAATTTAAAAGGCTGTATGAGAGAGAGAGAGAGAGAGAGAGAGAGAGAGAGAGAGAGAGAGAGAGAGATACTGAGGTTGCGGACGGTGGCCTTAACGGTGTAACCACGGTGAAGCAAAAACTTAACCAGCCACGACGCTATGTAACCGGATGCCCCCGTTACACAAACCACCTTTTCCATTTCCGTCGTCAAATTCCACCTCTCTCACACCTTTCGTGTGTGTGTTTGTGTGAGAGAGAGAGAGAGAAATAATTCGGGAGGAGGAATCAAAGAAATTAGTTGTTTGGCAGTCGTATTCTTTCTTTTGATAATCGAAGGGATAATAACAAGACACTCTTTGTCCTTATACTATCCACCACCATTCATTTTTAGTTTGGAATTTTTTTTTTCTTTTCTCACCACTTTAGTCCTTATACTATAAACTCAAATTATCCATTTATTCCTATAATTTTGTCACAAAGGATATAAATTCCCCACAAATCTATCAACAAAAGAGAAAATTAAAATTTTGAAAATCTGTTACATGTGATCAAAAGGACGAAATGGGTAGAAAAATGCTCCGGTTTTTTGCAAGAACTACCCTTGTGTAATTTATAATTGCCAAGAAAAAACATCATGTTAAAAGAATTAGCAAAAACCCTCCTATGAAAGTTAGTCAAAGCCGGAAAACCCCTTAATAGCTTTTCATGATGCCCAATCACAGATTGTGAGGCTGGAGTAAGTTTTTTGACACAAAAAGTCAAACATACCCTTAAACTTCAAATTTTTAAAAATTATAGTTTCAACCCGGAATTTTATAAGCCCCAAATTAAAATTTTCAGAAATTTCAATTCAGTCCTTTTCATTTTCGAAAAAGCCCACTTCTTCAATCTGCTCTACATCGTCACTTGTATGCTGCTATCTTCATTATCAAACAATGCATAAATCCTCAAACACTGAAGAACAGAGAGAAAATAACGTCTTCCCCATTGAATCACCACCACCAACGCCTCCGTCCCACCCCTTTCCTTCCACCACCTACCTCCTCTGGTATTCTTGCTGCTGACACTCTCCGTTACATAGGCTAATTCCTCTTCTCCTCCACCGCCAAGTTCTTGAACCCCCCGCCCCACCTTCTTGCGCGCGTCCGTCCATCTCTCTCCTCAATACCACACTAAGCTACCATCCGTGGTCGAAACTACTTTTGGCTATGGGGCTGGTTCAATGTAGATTTAACGGGGACATACATTTTCTGGCCAAATCGAGCTGTACAATTTCAATTCCGGCGAAATATAAGGGTGGTGGTTTGGCTCGAAATAGGTTGGAACAAGGCAGGCGTCTTCCGGACCAGCCAGACTATACCACTTTGATTGCGACGAGATGCCAGGCATGAACACCGAAGTGCATTGGAAAAGAGAACTTTCAGACTTTGGGTTTTGCTGCAAATGCTTAGAGTTTTTTTTCATTTCCCTTTTTTTCTTTATTTAGTATTTCTTTATAAGGTTAATTTGGTCAAATCACATAAGTCAACAATAAATTTCGAAATAAAGGCCGGTGTGGTTTGAAAAACACAACATAGGGGACTTCTTGCTAATTATTTTAATAGAGGGTGTTTTTTGGCAATTAGAAATAACACAGGGGGTCTATGCTATTAGCTCAGAAATGCTCTCTGAATTGAAGAAATGGACATATGAAAAACAAAATATTAAATAGGGTAAATTACACATATAACCCTAAAGTATGTTAAAATAACTTTAAGATCTCTGTGATACTGCTAATTACAGCCACACCCCTGAAACAATTACCGGAGCCTAGATTTCATGTCCAGGAACCGATATGCACTGTATTTGTTTCCCACGGGGCCGTTAATGCTATCATAGACGAAAATTTATAAATCCTATATAAAATAATAAGGATTTAAAAAATGTTATGAAGTCATGTCACCCCAAACTCTATGTTTTCTCCATATACCTGAAACTAATAGTACGTTAGAACTCTAATGAATAACTTATTCAATACGCCGCAAGAGGGTGAAGATGACAGTGAAAAGTTTGGGGATTTTCAAGGGGACGAAGATGACAATGATGGTATTACCAAGAGAGACTACAAGAACAAATGAAAGATGATGAATATGATAGTGATTTGTCAGGAGATATATGAATCTGACAATCATTACACTAAGTGGTGTGAATTCAAAAGGCCTGCAATTGCAAATGGAGATCCTATAATTTTCAAGGAGTTAGATGTTTGCTGATATCCATGAATTTATTAGAGATGCTCTTGCATAGTATGTGATTAGAGAGAGAAGTCAAAATTGTTGGGAAAAAATAGAATTATTTTTGTAAATTTGTAAATTAAATTAGATTATACTAAAAAAAATGGAATTTAATGAAAAATATTATGGTAAATTACACCTACACCCCTGAGGTATGCTAAAATAATTTTAATGTCCATATAGAATTGGTAATTACAATCACCCCTAATACATTGTTAGAAACCCTATCAAATAATGCATTGGATAAGTTATTATGTTAGAGTTATAACGGACTATTAGTTTATTTCTGTGGTAGAGACAACATAGATCTAGGGACAGTGGTGGAGCCACCCTTTGGCAAGGGTGGGCTCTAGTCCACTCTCATTTTTTTTAAATTTATACTATATATTATATCTATATTTAATTAGCCCACCCAAATAATTTAATTTAGCCCATCCAAATAATTTAGTTTAGCTTATCTACCAAAAAAATTATGTTATATTAGTTGAAGTTTATAATTTGTAGTTATTTTATGCTAGTTTATGTTAATGAATAAAAAAAAAAATTGGGGGCGCTGCCCCGAAACCCTCGTAAATGTTAAGTCCACCCACTCAAGTAATTTAGTGTAGCTTATATTAGTTTAAGTTTATAAATTTGTAATTATTTTGTGCTATATTTTTATGTGAGTGAAAAAAAAAAAAGGCCCCCGAACCCCCGTTAATGTTAAGCCTGCCCTGTCTTGAATTTCTGGCTCCGCCACTGTCTAGGGGTGACATGTCTCTCCTAACATTTATTAAATCCTTATTATTTTATATAAGATTTATAAATTTCCGTATATAGTTGCATTAACGACCTGCATATCCGTCCCCAGGACATGAAAATTTGGTTCCGGTAATTGTTTAGGGGTGTGATTGTAATTACTAATACCACATGGACATTAAACTTATTTTAACATACACCAGGGGTGTAGATGTAATTTACCCAAAATATTATTATAAGGGTCTATTAGATATAACCCCCTTAAACATTCAAATAATAGGGGTAGACCCAAATTTAAATTTGCCATTTTGATAAAAGCCCAAGCTTTTCGTACCCTCAATCAAATCCCACAAATCCCGTTATTTTACCTTTTGAAATAATATCAAATCCCTTCCTATTTTCCCGTTAATACACTATCACCCCAAAACCCACTATCAAATAAACTGCAAAAACCTCCCAGAACCACTTCCCGGTACGGCCGATCGAAAGGGGAAGAAATCTGCACTGCCGTGAAACGACGATTTTCGTGGACTCCGAGCAAGCCGCCGTAGGTACGTCTTCGCCGGTCGCTGCATCGCTATCGTCCATCGATTTGTTCATATGTTTTGGCTAAATCGACTATCACGTTTGTATAATTGCAGATCTGTTATAATCGCATACCGAATTCGAGCACTAAATCATTGATATTGCAACAATTGATGGGCAGGACATCCACCAGAAGTGATATCGTCGTTGGCCGCCGTCGCCGTCGCCGTCACTGCTCCAATCTAGGGTTACTCAAATCTAGGATTACTCAAATCTAGGGTTTTGATAATTCTTCGGCCCATAGTTGATTAACAAGATGTATAGTCGAATTACATCTGTATTAATATACTATCCCATATCATTTAATAGACTATCCCACTAGTATAATTTTACTATGGATCTCGTTAATCGACTATGGGCCGAAGAATCATCAAAACCCTAGATTTGAGAAGTGACGGCGGCGGATTTGTGTTTTAAAATTAATAGACTATCTCATATCTTTTAATAGACTATCCCATGTATCTAATTCGACTATGGGTTTAGTTAATTGACTATTGGAAAAATAATAATATATATGGAAACTGAATAATATGTTTGTTTGAAATACTAATCAATTAGGGTAATTTTCCTTATTATATGAAAACGATTAGGGTAAATAATAATATATATGAAAAAATAATAATATATATGGAAACTGAATAATATGTTTGTTTGAAATACTAATCAATTAGGGTAATTTTCCTTATATCATGTAATATACTATCTTATTGATCTAATTCGACTATGGATCTCGTTAATCGACTATGGATCCCGTATTATTCAACCACATAGTATATTAATAATTTCAATATAGTACATTAATCTGCTATGATAGTATATTACGGTTATAGTAGTGATATGAAATTGTGTTACACACAATATACCACTGAAATGACAAGAACATTGAGAACAACACCAACGTAAAGTATTTCACATAACCAATAAAATAGTACATTAATAATCTCATAAATTCAATCTAGGGTTTTGATAAAATACATAAAACACATCATAACACAATCAAACCAATATGTCGAGTTAAAAAACTCTAGTACATTAATAATCTCATAATAGTATAATAAAATGATAATGGTAGTATCATACGGTATTCATAATATAGTATACTACTGTATTACAACGGTTTAACACTTAACCGAAGTTACCGAGCCATTACATCGTAAACACCTCTTTATAGCAACCAACCCACCAAACCTCAACAAAATCCGTATGAAATTCGCCATCGAAAAAACCTAAAATCATGAAACAAAATAAAAAATGCAGAATACTAAAAAATGATTAAATAGACTGCAAATACATTTGAATGATAATACATTAATATCATCAAAAATAAACTTAAAATGCAAAATTCATACGCTAAATTAAAAAAGACTACGAACTATATTTTAATGTACTACCCAGCACACTTAAATCGACTGTTATAAACAAATAAACCAACTATCGATCGGGATAAAAATATGATCTCGACCACAGCGGACAATTATTCCGATTATTGCATAAACCAACTACGAAGCTCATATAAAACAACTCTAGTTCCGATCTGCGTGAATCATCCTCTTCTAACTCTGTCAATCCTCTTCCAAACAAACATCATCGGCCAAAAAAAACGATATATATATGACGGAATAATTTTGTTAAAAAACGTTCTACTTAATAGAATCAAGTATCAACACAACTCTTAAAATTTTCTAACCACCGTACACGACAATCATGGACATTGAGCAAAAAATAAAAACGAATAACGCATTCATACCCGCTTAACAACGTCCAACAACAAACGCTCAAAAATCGATCCTATTTCCACGACGGTGCAGAAATCTTCAAAGACGATAAAACCCGCTGGAACGATGAAGAGAATCTTCAAAAAATATTGTACACGATTTGATATAACGGCCAATGATCTCACGTAAATTTATTCCGTGATTTTAGGCAACGTATCAGCAAATCTCAAATCACGTATTAAAGGAAATAAATGCCGTTTAATAATAAAACAGGGGTATTAAAGGGAAATTATATAATATATTTTGCCAAGTTGGCAAAATTGGGTGTATCTCAAAAAGGGGAAAAAAAATTGGATCTACCTCATTAGAAAATATGAACAAGGGGGTTTTCCCTAATAAACCCAATAAAAAATAATAATAAATTGCGGAATTCAAAATCCCAGTACAATTTCCACACCCCGCTACCCGCCATAAAAACTGATTGAGAAATGTGGCGACTTTTTAAACTTTTCCCCTCCACACAAAAAAGGTTTAATCTTTTTCTCCTTCAAAAATCCCTTTCTTCTTCGTTTTCTCTCTCCATTTTGATCTACTGTTACTTCAATGGCGACTCTCTATTCCTCAATCTCTCTCAATTTCACCTCCCTCTGTATATCCGCTCCATCTTCTACAAAAAGGATTCCCAGAAAAATTTATGCATCAGCTTCTCAGGAATCGGCATCGGCCACAAAATCGGAAAATTTTAGTGTATCCGGAAATGGATCGTCTCCCAAGGCGCCCTTTGTTGAGCCCTCGAAGCAGCCGGAATCGCCCTACAGTTACGCTCTGGCAAACCCTAATGGAAGCCCGGTCGTGCAATTTATGCAGTCTACTGAGTCCACCATCGAAAGAGTAAGTCGAAATTCTTTCGAGTAAGCTTTCGGGTTTCGATGAGACGTGCTGTTAGTCGTTCAAATTTGATGATTTTCGAATAATTTAGTTGTTAATTTGTTGTTATTGATTCCATTTTATTCCTAGTTTATGAAATCATTGCTAGAATTAATCATTCTAGTGTGCTCGAATCTCGATAGTAGAAAGGGTAAATTAGGGTCATCCCTGAGGTAAGGTCAAATGTCAAATTACGTAAAACCCCCCTCGTGTTTGGTTAATTACAACCACCCATAAACTATGAATCTTCTTACATGTCCACCTTTGCGGTGTCAAATTTAGTGGAATCTTCTAGATTATATGGAACATTCTTCAGTTTGTACCCGTTTTACCCCATTCGAGCTCCACATTTTGAAACAAGATGATTATAAGATGCGTCTCTTGGCTTGTAAATATCAGATTGTGGTGCATCAGAAACTGCACTTTTGCACAAAACGAGTACAATCTAGAAAACATTTCACAAAATCTAGAAGACTATGTTGAATTTGACACCATAAGGATGGGTGGGTAAAAAGATTCATAGTTGAGGGGTGGCTGTAATTACCGAAATACGAGGTTTTTTTTTTCGTAATTTAACCTTAACCTAGGAAGGTGGCCGTAGTTTACCCATTATATTAATGTTTCCAAAACAGTAAACAGCAGAGAATGATTCTGACTTCTGATATAAAAAAAAAATTATACAACGGATGCGATAGTCGTAAACCACGAGTTAAGTTTGTGAGTCCCGTTCATGTTTGAAAAGCATATGTAAAGAAGAGCCTTATCGTATAATTCAATTCGACATGTTTTTGATATCTGATCTACTTGTCTGGTTATCCTCTGCAAATCCTAACTTATTTTTTTTACCGATTTCGTATCTTTAATGTGTGAATTTGTATCTGTCTATGCAGGTCATATTTGACTTTCGATTTTTGGCACTTCTGGCAGTTGGGGGTTCATTAGCAGGTTCTTTGCTGTGCTTTCTTAACGTAATTTCTCCTTCACAAATTTCTTCCACTGTTAATCCTCGATTTTCGACATTTATTTTATTGAAATAAATTTTATAGTAGATTTGTTGCCATTTGAGCTTCACCCGAAATCTGTTCTGGAATTCGCCAAGTCCCGATGCATATGTAGCTTATGTTATCATGTTAAAAGCAAATCTATTTACTCTTAAAATTACCGAAGGTCGGTTCAAATGACGAGTAAACTTTTGTAGGGATGTGTGTACATATTTGACGCATACAAAGTATATTGGTCAAGCTGTGTCAAAGGAGTCCATACTGGAAAAATGGTTCTCCGATTGGTTGAAGCTATTGGTGAGTTCCGTTTTTTTTTTCTTTTTCTTTGAGAGAGAGAGTTTTCTGATAGAATGTTTAGCTTCTCGTTAATGCAGATGTATATCTTGCGGGCACAGTCATGTTAATATTCGGGATGGGTTTGTACGGATTATTCATTTCAAATGTGCCTAACGACGTACCTTCCGCCAACGATCGTGCACTGACGGGCTCTTCCTTATTTGGCATGTTTGCTTTGAAGGTATTATCTCTAAGTATACGCATCCCTTTTTTTTTTTTTCGTGTCAATAAAATTAAAAGATATCTAATAATTGAACATTGATTGGTGCAGGAGAGGCCAAAGTGGATGAAAATCAGTTCGTTGGACGAGCTAAAGACTAAAGTAGGGCATGTGATTGTGATGATTCTGCTGGTGAAGATGTTCGAACGGAGCAAGATGGTGACAATAACGACGGGATTGGATTTGTTGAGTTACTCTGTGTGTATATTCTTGTCTTCGGCTTCTTTGTACATTCTGCACAATCTGCATAAATCGGATTGACCGAAAACAAGAATTGGCTTTGTTACATGGCACTTGAACTTTTGTACAAAACTCTGTAAATTTTCAGTTTACACCTCGAGATGAAATATATATCTATATATATATATATATATATATATGTCATCTTGATTACAAAAGCTTGGAAGGCAAAGTCCAAAGAACCGTTTAATAAACGGTTATGAACATTAAAAAAAACAAATAAATTGCGTCTGCCGGGGGGTCTATTGCTTGGAAGGCAATTATCCTAACCGTGGGACTACAGACGCTTCTTGT